TAATTTCGCTATTATTGGGATTGGAAAAAATACATCTCAGGACAAATACATACTGTATTAGGTGATAACACACATTTTCAATTTAAATTGATTTCTCATGAAACATGAATATTTATTTGCTAGATTCATTAAAAAGCGACATAACCATTTTCATAACCACAAGAAATCTGTTCTATTTTCTAAAACTAGAAGTATTACATATAATTTGTATTCGATTTATTATATTGACATTAAAAAGTCAAATGGATTGGGCAAATGTCCAAGTTACGATGCCATAAACATCTCCACAGAGAGCACACATCAGCGTAAATATTAAACATTGAAATAAACAGAGTACATATAATGTGCAATACCTCACTGAAAACAGTAGCACTAATAATTAATACAAGTAAAATAATAAAACGAGAAGTTGTAACAAGTAAAACAACAGATTAAAACACGAGATGTCTATGAGTATATGCCGACGTAGCAACCGAGGTACATGTGTCTCACTAGTGATCAATAGTGGATGATTAGGTCTAATTGTTACAAATTTGTTAGGAATGTGATTATTACACACGTCAATAATTGTCCGGGTAAAACATTCTGCGATAAAATCAACATTTCGGGATGATAAGAAATGATCCCACTTTGTCTTTGTAAGTGATCTTTTTTGTTCTTACATTATCTAAGAATATCTAGATTAAAGTCCCCATCTGTAATAGTTGTTTTATTCAAATCAAATTGCGTTACATATTGACTGATCTGTCAACCGCAAGTAAGCTTCGCTTTTATCTGCCCTATAGAATATCCCTTGCCATTTCCCATAATGAATCGAGTCCATTTATGCACAGATGATCCATATTGTTAGCATATCATTTCGTTTTACATATATAGCTACACCCCCGCCTCGACTTGGTCGATCGTTTCTAATTGGCAAATGAAAGCCTGGAATTGAAATATCAACAGTAGGTATGCCGTCAGGCAGCCAGGTTTCGATCAAGCAAATAATATCGTATGAATTAAATTCAGTGCAAAGTAGATCTACCTTGTCCCTTAGATGAATAATCTTTATTTTACAAATTACCATGTTACTGGCCCAGGGTTTGGGTGAACATTCCAGTAACATGAAAGAAGTATCACTTCTACAATAATCGCCGTTCTTAGCTCAAAGATACAACAGGAAGAAAGAAACAGCAAGGACTTTTTCAATTTTCAAGATACTTTGCTATAAAGACTAGACGCAAATAACCCTATCTATTTCAACCGACATCTCTCTTTACAGAATATGTCTTTTTCACAAAAGCCGGCGGGGAGGTAACGCTCGAAGTATAGATTTGCAATGCTGAAATGCACCAGAAACCATTACTGATAACAGAAAAATGATTGAAAACTACAGCGAGAAAAAATGTCACTACTCTCACAGACAAAATATGTCAAACAAAAATAAACTTTCGAAACATAAACAAAATCTATATATAAAATGTCGGTTAAAGAATCACATAACTGATAATATAAACAATAAAAAAAGCAGATTAAATGGATAATTTGCACCAGTTGTGTTTTTGTTTTGGTAATCCAACTAGTAACGAATCAGGGGATACGACCGTGACAGTAATGATTAAGGTCAGTCTGTATACACCGAGACGCACGTGCATGAACCGACGAGGGTACAACAGGACAGCAGGTCGATACCTGCTTATTGGCATGTTTTACAAACAATGGATACCCTAACATACACTGACTCCTAGCAAGGAGAATGTTGTAGCTGTAAAAAAATATTACATTGTAGTACCATTCATAAAGGCGATAGTACTCATTGAGTAAGTAGTAAATAAAATACTATGGTAAATTACGGCATACATACGGCATATTGTAATACCATCTTCAAATATGTTCATGTAAAATAAAAAAGACGTAATATGCTCCCCAAGAGTATGTTTTGTCAGTGGTCACACATGTACACAAAAGTTGATCATATTTCTCCCTTTCAATGTTACAATTCGACAGTGTTTCATCCAAACGTGGATATGTTATGCGAAGGGAACACGAACACTGCAGTTTTACATACGTAGATCGATCAATATGTTGACGGTGACATGAGCTGGCACTCGCCTGTTGAACATGCATATGGTAACATGTGGGTTTGCTAAGAGTGTAAAGCCTCTCTCGGATAAGTCTTATTTCCATATTTCTGTTAAATCAAACGTCAAAAAGATTTATTATTTCATGTATATTATGCACAGTTGTTCGTTTTGAGATACGTCTGGCAATAGTTTGCTTGTAGATACAAAATCCGGAATCCGGAATCAGTGAAGTATTTAAATTTGATTGATTTCAGTATTTGTGTTATATGATAAAAACTAGAGTACCATAGACAATTGATTATTGTCGATAAATATGGCAACAAGTACACGCTGAAGCAGTATATGTAGATGTGTTGTTAACATGCACTGATTACTTGCTGCGAGTATTGGTGCTGTATAAACTACACGCATTAGTCATAAATAGTGTTGTACTCATATTTGAAATATCAATATATCTCTTGTTTCCGGATAACTCCGTATGTTCTGTGGACACAAGTCTTTGGAGGTAGCTGAAGTATCGGTGTATGCAGTTACCACAAATAGTAATCTGGATACACACAGATTTCAACATTAAAATCACGCAGGAAGCTAATACATGAACTTCCAGATCTAGGGCATGATACCTACCGTGTGATGCATCAAAATGTCAAGTACTTTCATTATGTCGCATGTTTAACTCTAAAGGTCTCCACAAAGGGGTCTTTATGCAATACAATAAGTATTACCATGGCCATTGGTAATTAAAGTGTAAGGAATATCACACATGATATACGATACACTTGTCATCTTGTCCGATCTTGTGGCGATCTTGTGCGAGCAAGTAAATTTCTGACAATTCCGGCTCCTACAAAATATGGAAAATGGACTGTTTAAAGATGTCTTCTGGTATGATTTTGCTGATGCAATAATTTGTATATATGCATAAGATAGCTATGCCATAAATCGCAAAGAACAAAGAAGAACAAAGCTTGGCTTATTTCACGATAAAACATTGTTCTATCAAGACGTCATTTCTGGAGATTCGAATATGCGCTTTCAACTTGCTGACCTTGTAAATTGGACGACGTTATTTATAACAGGGAAGTGTCTTGTGAGTTGTTCATGCCATGTTTTGGTTCTCTTTAGAAAATGCCATGAATCAGGTGTTCGCGTATAACTAAGATGCGGACGATTTGTTATTAGGCACCGTAGCAAATGGCCGATATAATTCATGTTCTAAATCAACCTATCGCCGATATGAAGCAGTGTCGCCGAAAATCACAGAGTAAAGTCAGATCGTTCAAAAAACGGCGGTTGTTATCAAACTCTCGTTTTACGATACGTCGCATTTTGCTTGCGACAAAGCCGAATGGGAGCTTAGTGCTATGTCACTTTCTTAAACACGATTGTTGATATGGTGATTTGCGCCAAGCTTAAAAAAATCGTCCGCATCTTAGTTATACGCGAACACCTGATTCATGGCATTTTCTAAAGAGAACCAAAACATGGCATGAACATTATTTTTCGATCATTCAGATCGCCAAATGACAAAAACGAACTATTGACACAATCTCAGTTGACCGATTGGTGCATTGATTGTCATACGTTCCTGCTTGTGAATACTCAGAAAAAAATCAATATGCTTACAATTAACAACGTTATGTATGCGTAAAACCAATAAAAAAGAAATAATGAATATTTCAGTATTTAGAGTTTGATGATGTTGACTTTGCTAGATACAAATCAATATCGTGGTATATCACAAAAGTAGGATTATATTTTGATGACCTTCTGGTTACCCTGTTCGTCAATTTGTAAAATGTATCTCTATGTTTTTTGTCATTACACTTTTAGGAGTGAATGAATGAGTGGCAGTGTAACGTCGCATTGTCATTGTGCCAGCCATAAAGTGACGACGCTGTTAGGAGTCCAGTGAACCACTCTACTGCCGTTCCAAGGAATGCGACAATAAGGAATGACAAAATTGGACAATATCTCTTCGCTCTCATTACACAGCGTCGGAAGGAGCTATTATTCAGAAGATTAAACATTACCTTATTATCAGGAGCATTTACATCCTCGGCGTGTTGAATGCATGACAGGATGCGTCTTCGGAATCTGCAACACCGAGTGTGACAGAGCAACCTTCAGCATCCTTGAGATACTTTACATTGCAGAGTGATATAAACACATATACAAGTTTGTGCCCAAATCTGATTGGTTCAAAAATGCATGATGAGTTTCTTGTCCGCTCCATCGGTTTCAAAACACATTTCCAGGCATATAAGGATATTTAATTAATAAACGCTTAAATTTTATGCCACAGAAGAAAACTGGAATACGTGTTTGTCAATTAAAGAAATTAATCAACAACTAACCTGATAAAGATCCCGATTAAAACTCCAATTACAAGTAGACAGACTGTGGTTAAAATAATCGCAACGGCAACATGTGATTCTTGCCTTTGAGTTGGGACGTCGATGATTGTGGCTGTATGAAAGAAAATATCATGCTTAGAAATAAATCTGCAACAACTTATGTCTTCTACAGATCACGTGATAGTACTATCACGACCATGTATATATTCCATAGGTGTTGTATTTGTGACAATTAAAAGGTATTTGTGTGCGTGACGAAAAATGTGTTTCTTAGACATTCAGTTTATGAATATAGTTTCTTTCCAACTTAAAGCAACCGAAATACCTACTAATACTTATTAAGTGTGTTATAATAAAAACTACTAGATCCTAATAAATTACTCAATTTTGTATATAGTCGATGTTTAGTGACTAAATGTCTACGGTTATCATCACCTTTTTTTACCCAGAAAGTAAACTAATGCAAATTTGAACCAACATGTCCGATATTATTACTATAACTAACTTCCCCTGTGCGTATAACATGTAAAGCGATGGAAATTCAAACTAACAATACTAGCATATCCCCTACATTGAGAGGTTCCGTTACCATTGATCATGGAGGTGCATCGACTTCTTCCATCATATGTGAACCCTTGGCGACATGTTGTGCAGTTGCCACTCTTCTGTTGACATTTGAGACAGTTTTGAGAGCAGGCCAACTCACAGGTCTGTCACCACCACCCATCAAGACATCCATCGCAAAATCTGTCATCGCTACAACCGGAACTTAGACAGTTGCATATCTTCTTCTCACAGCTTGTTCCTGTGAACCCCGCCTTGCACGAGGAGCACACCCCAGCTTCAGTGCACGATAAACAGTTGGGTAGGCAAGGGATATCGCAGAGAGGAGGCTTCCAGCCATGTACACAGCCGTTGGTACAGCGAGGAGTGTCTCCGTCAATCTCTCTACTGCAATCTCTGTCAAGGCATTTATCAGTACAGTTTCTATCACAGGAGCTCCCATAGAAGCCAGGTTTACACCCATGAAGACATATCCCCGTCTGCTGACTGCAGTTGCCATGGAGACATCCCACTGAACAGGTTTTGTCACAATGGATCCCAGAAAACCCGTTCCTGAATCCTGCACATGAACCATCGTAAAAGAAACACTGTGAATCAGTACACTGTTTTCCACACTTGTGTTCACATTTATGTCCCCGCCATGTGGGTTTACAGCCTTCAAGACAATTCCCTGTTGTACGGTCACAGAAGACACTGTCATCATAACTCTCCCTACACTGAGGTGGACATGTCAGTGAACAGTTTGTAGAGTAATATCCAGCTTGACACTGAAGACAAACTCCTGTTGTTTTGCTACATCCACGCGTGTCACAGTGTTGACACATCTTGTCACAGTAAGCTCCATACCATCCAATATAACATTCCCCACATGCCCCGGACCGCGATAACACCAGGCAATAATAGTCTGCACTTTCAACATTGTAGATACCTAAAATATGAAATATGAAAGTCATATTAGACATGGCATGAATACACCAATTTTGTTGTACTATGAAGTGATATTTTCTCAAGTGTGTCCATGTACTACATTTGACACACAACGTCATGAACCCAGCCTGAACACGTCTGCAAATCCCGGAAATTCACTTCATTCCTGGTACCATGTTATGACGTACTTAGTTCTTATTGAAGTCTTGTGTTGTTGTGTAAGCGAACTCGAACTGTCTTATATGGGAGTGTTCTAACGACAATTCGCTGTGCAGAGTTGTGTCCCCTGGGCACGCCAGAAATCTATGATTGTGGGTTCGAATCCTACAGTTCAAGTCAAAGAAAAGAAAAATTTGTTCCCTTTTTACTTTGAGAGAAATACATAAATGGGCACGTTTTTATCAATTTAAGAAATTAACAGCACATTAAAATATTAATGGTTCGTTATTGACAACACAATTAAATTCACACTTATGCCCTTCTTTTCTCATTTAGACTAAAAGATAAAATAAAAAGATTTTATAATTACTTGTAGATATTACTTACACGTAGATATTAATTACTTGTAAAAATAGATACTCTTGATACACATGCTTGAAAGAACTTAAATAAGCCATACAAACCCTCCCCCAAACTGTCGTTCTGAATTACCGTATTCGACGTAATAACCGCCCCGCTCTAATAAGCGCCCACCTCGAGATTTGCTAATATATTGGCTAGTAACAATCGCAATTAGCATCCCTTCCGACCCCTATTAGCATATAATACGCACTCGTGTGATATATGCACCCTTTATTATTAGCAATTAAATTCTGCAAAAATATATTTGTCGTACATAAACATTTCAGGCTGTCAGCGTAAACCACGAAATTTATCTTTCAACACCATCTTTTTTTCACCAAAATAATATTCCACGTATTTCTAGTTTTGAGAGCGCCCTGGGCGTTTATTACGCCGAACACGGTAAGAATAACATCTTTTCGGGATGTAGTGGGGGTGTAACTGTCAATATGCCATAAGCTCACTTGACGTCTGTTCAGGTGAGCCAAAGTGTTAGCATATTTCTTTCAAAGCTGCAATACGTCCACACATACTCACTTTGTAAACACAGGAGTATTGCCAGTAGTTGATTTGTTTCCATGTCAACAGTTGAAAGCTGTAAGCAAGACATGTACATATTCAACATATAATTCTCACTAAGGATGTAGGCAGTTAGAACAAAAAGTCATGTACATCACTACTTTATATTTATTTGACATACCTCTAGTCATAAGTTCGCCAAATGCCAAGGTAATACCTTTGAATACACACGAGTAGCTGAGCGAAAAAAACACGTTTATTCAAAGACATTGTCATTCTATAAGATTAAGGAACATGTTCTGAGCTGCCTTCTGTCTTGAGAATTGTACGTACAAACATACACTAGTATACACTCAAAGAAGAAGAACAACAAACAACGATCAAATACGCGAAAGTGTACTACGCCTTCAGTTGTATATGTTAGCAAATTGACGGTTAAATGAGTATTCCTGTTAAACATAGAAAACATCAGTTTCTGTTTCGTCCAAAGCGGGTGCATAAAGCCTTGTTTAGTGACCCTCTTTATATATAGTATAATGTTATAAAATAATGTTCTGTCGAATTTATCTATTTAAGTTCAAGTTCATGAGCAAGGAAATGTCACTTTTGAAATGTTACAATTCTCACGTATGTGAAATAACTATTTAATTACAACACAGATTGTACACTCATAATGAAATTATATCATGTGTATACTGAACATATACGTATTGTAATAAAGGGAGCGGATAAACACGGAGGTGATTTTGTGTAAGTGTTTAGCGCCAACATGGCGACATATCAGATACTAACATTGGTAAGTAGTGTCACAATAGGAAGGGCATAAGCTCGACCCAACTACAAAAATTCTGAGCGTAACTTTTATGAACTGCGTTGATGGAGTTGATTGCTAATTTGTTTTCAAATTAATCGAGGTCCTCACAGTTCTGCCCATCAGAGTCCAAGGGGTATAGAAGGCTTCCTCCTGGTGGTGTTAAACGTCACCAGCGTTTGCATAATGCTAGCCAGACAGTTCATTTTTCAAGTATGGGAAAAGGTGGAAATTTGGCGGTCCCAAATCTGGTAAATATACTGATGACGTTCAAAGAGTCGAAAGCCACAGCCATGCATTGCAGCCATAGCGACAACCGACTCGTCACAATGAATTTTCCATGAAGTGTAGCCTTCAAATTCTTACGCAGGCGCTTAGCAGATTACCATAATATTGGCCATGAAGTAGTAAGTCCACAAGTAGGATTTCGAAGCCATCCCTTTGCCAGCTCATGGAATAGTCTTTGCTTACAAATTGCCCAACGAATTTATCTTCAAAACGACACGCTTCTCGGGAGAGATGATAGAGCGTTTCTGGTCGGATTTCAGACGCCTTGGAATTCAGGGTGCTCAAACTTTTGTGATGCCCAGTCCATGCCCCAGAAAGTTGTCAACTCCTTTTTGAGAGATTCCCACTGTATTGACTATGTGACGTAAGGTGATTCGTCGATCACCCGTAAGCATTTCATGTGTTTTGTCAACATATTTCCTCGTAGTGTCACATAAAGGTCTTCCTAATTGTTCAGTAATCTTCAAGGATCTTTCCGGGATTCCGAATAAGAATTGTTCTCAAGCAATTACAACACAGATTGTACACTCATAATGAAATTATATCATGTGTATACTGAACATATACGTATTGTAATAAAGAGGAGACGGTTAGAATCGAGTCTGGACCAGACAATCCAGTGATTTACATCATGAACATCGAGTCTTACCACCCGATCCCGTTTGTCGCCTTTTACGACAAGCATAGTCGCCTTTTACGGCAAGCATGGGTTGCTGAAGACCTATTCTACCCCGGATCTTCACGGGTATCTGGTCGGAGGAGACGGCTAAATATATATGATGTTCAGGCACGGTTACGGCTTAGGGCGTTATTCGTAATATCAATCACTGGTTTGCCTGGTTCAGCTTATTAGAGGCCATCGTTATATAACTGGATTATTGTTGAGTGAGGCGTTAAACAACAAATAAACAAAACAGAACAAATTTATTATCAATATTTTAGAAACCAAGTATAAACCTTCAAGAACAGAATGTAGGATATACATTTATAGTTGCACGAGTGTTACTGTACATTCCCAATTAAATTAATAAAAAAACTACTATTAAATATAATTCAATGTATCATTAACTCAATGATACATATGTAAGGAACGTTCTTGACAGAAACGGAACACCTGGTGTCATTACTCTTTGATAGTGATTCATAAACACATGCTCATGATATAGTCGAAATCGTACAATCGACTCTGCTTTATGCAGAGATTTCTATTGGATATGGAAGGGTTTTGCGCTTTAATTATATGAATTCTTCCCAGAAACCCAGAAGGGTGTTAGAAACCTCAAGTTAGAGTAGACTAATTCAAACACGTACATGTGCCCTGCTGAAACTTATCTTTTTAAGTCACCATATGTTGATTTTGTTATCAGCGGTACACAATTCCCGAGAGTGTGACATATCCGAGCTCTTATGAATCAGTGACCAAACTGATGTCCGGTTCAACTTCTTTTGAGGTGAAGATTCAGGTTAGAATAGGTCTTCAGCGACTAACGGGATCGGGTGGTCAGACTCGCTGACTCGGTTGATGTCTGTCATCGTATCCCAATTGCATGGATCGATGCTCAGGATGTCAATCACTGGATTGTCTGGTTTATTTACAGGCCCCCGTTTCTTAACATAGCATACCGGAATATCTTTCTCTATTACATGTTTGGAATCATGAATTCTCAGCATTCATAAAATGTGTTTTGCTTTCGATCAACAGAGTCATGAATTAGTGGCAGTGTCCATTTCGAGGGTTGAAATTATAATGTCGATGTTTTGTTATCAATTCCATGAATGAAGCTGTCAGCATGTCGAGTCACAAGAAGTTATTACGAGATGAAAATATATCTACAATACGAACACGTGTGAGCGAGGGCGGGTGCGAGCGAGCGAGCGAGCGAGGAAGTGAGTTGTTTACCGCCGTAATAATCCAGCCACCACGTGACTAGAGACCCAAATACACATTTCACTCGGGCCTTCGGCGTAACGATTCAACGCTTAACCTCTGTCTGTCAATATGCTTTCCCCCGGCCGTTGATAATCATTAAGGACGCATGCAGGCTTGAGTTGGAATTTTCCATGCAGGTGAGGTGACATGCAAACCTAGTAACGCACGGCAGCTATTGTATATTGATTTACCTCAAAACAATTGCAAACTATTCTTAAATCCGTCTATAGTTCGAATTCCCACATAAGTAAGTTTCCTTAATAGTTATTTACTATATGTAATGCTAATATTGTTTATGTTTTTTGCTGCATGTGTTCAACAATATCAGAAAATGACAAAGTACTTGACTCTCATCACTTGGTTGTAGTCACTCCTGGTTGATAATGTTGTGGGATTCTACATGGAAAACGTGGCTAAAAATCAATTCCGATCCGTATTCCGTTACATCACGGTCAGCTGTCCGACGTTTAGCAGGACTCCACGTTTACCACTTTGGTGAAACCCAGGAGCACGGATGCGGTGCTGACAAACTTATGAAAATCGGGTTAAACAGGGATTCCAACCCACGATCATAGTTTTGAGTCGTGCCTAAGGGACACAACTCTGCACAGCGAATTGCAGCGCCCTTGGCAGAGATTTCTCATAAATGTGAAAAGGATTTTGCCGCGGTTTTTTTTACGACTAGGTCACCCGTGCGCCCTATACAATAGCAGCACTAAACTGTACGGTACTACACAATGCAAATATTTTACCTTCACCTGTCGGTAAAATATGTTAAAAAAGCTGTCACTTGTTTATGATGTTGTTTACAGTAGGCGCATTGGTAACGAAGTCTGTATATGTGCTTACTTACTCACTTTTTATATCACGTGCTTAATACTGACGTTAGAAACACCAAAACATCATAATTGTCTAAATGAAGTTGACATTCTATACTACCTTGTCGTCTGGTACATTTCCAATACCAAATACCACTGAAATCTTATTTAAAGGTGGCTGTGTTAATGTTGTAGCCTCCTTGTAAACCTGAACATAAATCGAGTCAAATGATTGTTAGAAATATTATTACATGGAACGACGACATAACTTTGCTCAAACTATATAAATAATCCAACTTACCCAGGTATCTACAGGGTTTCCCGATTGTACAAACCATTAACTGAATATATGTCAACACTCGAAATGAACGTCAACGCCGTTAGAAACCCAACTGTAAACAAGTCAGTTACTCAACACACAAAAAAACAAACAAACAGACCCGCACAACAAGTAAGCCGAGGAGATATAAACAGTAACAAACATGCATATGGCGTATAAAGGCTATTCAAACATGCAACCACGTCCTATGTCAATGCATACGTTGAGGGGCGTCCCTGGATAGCTATAAAGATTATGTGTAGAGTCAGTGGATGACATTGTTCGAATTTATGACCAGGATATCAGTCGACGTAATTGACACACTTTTATGTCAGACTAGTGTCACACTCAAATACGTCTATGAGACATTGATGTATATGTGGCGTACTTATTAATCGTACTTGCATATGTATGTGTGCTTATGAGTACTTAGTGGGTATCTTTTGTAAGAAAATATTCCTGTCAACGTGCACTGCAGTGAAATTTTATGTGTTACGTTCATTGCAATGAAAATATATTTTTTCTCAACTTTAGAAAAGACAGTCTTTCACACTGAAGTATATAATGAAGTGGTCACCTTTTTTCCATGTACGTTGCATCACGAACTGCCACCTATTATGGGGGATAGGGAACTATTGATTTGTCATTAAGGTACTTCATCATACAAAAGCGGTTTAAGTGCACATTTTAAAGGCGACAGTTATATATTCTATATATAAATCTTCTCACAATAAATGGAAACATTTGTTGCTGAATTAATGTAAATTAGATGTATTACGCTTGGTGTTTAGTTACAGCGCGTTTCCCTTTAATAAGAAAGTGTATAACATTTGTTACACCCACTTCGTTATGTCGTTACATAATGTCGTCCAATAATATATCTTGTCCTCATTGCTTGACGCCGACTCAAGTTCGAAGGTTAGTAATCATTTCTAGTTTCCTTTTCAGAAGATTTCGTCTCCTTACTAGTCCTTGTGGTCCTTTATGTGTGAAGCCTTCATTCTTTCATGCAAACTGGTATGACTTGGGTAAAGCTCACTATCGTCATCTATCCACATGTAGTCGAGACCCGTGGAGATCCGGGCAGAAAAAAGGTCCATGACAGTCAATGCTTGCCGTAAGAGGCTACATGTACTACGCTTGTCATAATAGGCGACAATACTTGTCGTAATAGGCGATTAACTGGATCGGGTGGTCAGGCTCGCTTACCTGGTTGATGCATGTCATCGTATCCCAACTGCGTAGATCGATGCTCATGATATCAGTTACTGAACTCGATTATTTATTGACCGCCGCCATATAGCTGGACCATTGCTGAGTGCGGCATTAAACAACAGTCAACAATCAAGTAGTCGTTAATTGATTGGTAAATAGAATCGTAGATACAGGGACGTATTAAGCACGACAGAATTTAGACAGTTTCATTTCCATAAACACTTTCCCTACGAAGACTGGGTAGAAAAGGTTTCTCGCAACCATTCTTGTCGTAAGAGTTGACTGATGTTTACCTGCCAGGTTGCAATTTGTGATCTTGTTGGTTGTCGTACATCGTACACAGATGTCGTTGCATGATCATGTTCATGCTGTAACCTACAGGTCCATGTGTCCCACCCTTCATTATATAAATGCCGGTTCAATATTGCTGAAATATTGCTGACTGAGGCGTCACACACTGATTAGTAGATATCTTGCTGCTATGTATTCGTTAACGCTCACATAAAGAGTGATATGGATTTCACTTACCGGCTACGAATACAATGCACTTTACAGAAAAAATTGAAACAAAGTCTTACTCCACGCTCATCTAAATCGAATCACCTAACATCAGCACGTGCACGGTAGTTTCAAAGAACACAAACATAATGAAACGGTGGACAGAACGAGCGGTGTAATGTGACCTATCGACTTATGTCGATCATACAAAGTACTGAAACATGGTGCGATGTGATAACATTGTTCCCAATATCGTACTCTGTTATCAAGTGCATTGCATGCTTTCATGTAATGCCACACGCAAACAAACAAACAAACAAACACACACACACACACACACACACACACACACACACACACACACACACACACACACACACGCGCGCACACGCACACATGCACACACAAATACATGCACACACTAACAATCAAACTCACATACTGTGGTCGTTAACCTTTCGTCAGAACCTGATGATGAAAAGGACACTGGCAGCTCTTTCTGCATGAATGAAACAAAGTTGTATACATAAGATATATAGTACATAATTATAAGTAACACAACGCTTTCCATAATCATAAAAAATACGTCTTAAGATTCGATGCATTGTAAGGTCCGATCACATTGTATGTCACAAGCATGTGTTTATGAATCCCTAACAAACTGCGACACTGCCAGGTTCTCGCGAAAAGATTATCTTGCCAAACAGGTGGCACCAGTCAGAAACACATGCAAAGGCAAGTCAATTGTTCACCTGAAGAACACAAATTAAAACAAGAAACCGTTGTGGATCAAAAGCTTTATTTAATTTTTATTCATAAAAAAAATAAGGAACAATCGGACATAAAATACGTTCCATGAGACATTCACAGGACATTGAAACATTATTTACATACATATTCAAAGAGATATGACAGTATGTTGTGATGACATGTAATTATATATAGTTATGTGCTAAGTGAGAGCTAAGAAATGACCCTTCTAATAATTCAGGAAGAAATTGGTAAGCCGTGACTGTCGACGGACCGCCAATTACCCAAAGAGACGAGTCATTAAATATATCATTTTTCAAATTTCTGATAGTTTGCCACAGTAGATCATTTCCATTCCTGTGAATAGTTACTGCCATTATGCCATATGAACATCAAAAGATGTGTATCATCGGCTACAGAAGGCACACCATATTCAATAATCATGTTAACGTACGATGTCAACTTTTGATTCACATCATTACAACAAATAAATTAAAAATAGCCGTTTTAATTCTGTAAACTCAAAACTCAAAACACTCCAGTCCAGTATCGTGGAATATGTACTGCTCTTCTGAGATATTTGTCTCCAACTATTGTCGTGTATCCCTTTGTTATGAGTCCGCCAGATCACAGAAAACAAACAGAAATTATATTGATGATACATGAACTTTTGAGTTTATTGATAAGTTTCCTTTTTTCTTATCACTAATTGTTTTATATAAGCACACATAATCCTGGTCACATCTGCATTTTAACACATATGCACGGAGCGTGCATTGCACATACATAGTAAATAAATGTTGCCCCAACATACTATTGACCAACAAATCGCCAACAAAATACAATTATTCAGTGTCAAAATACATTGTCAAACTCAGGTAAAAATATGAGGTGACTCATCACTAAAATTTGACAGTCACTTTAACCCTGAAAGGTCCAATAGATACTGTAATCGAAATCTCGACGTCTCTCCTCAGTCGTAAGTTGGCAGGGCCATCTGAAATAATTATGAAAGTTTAATGTGAAAAATAAATAATTAAGTATAAGTATAATTTCTGAAAGAAGTTTCAGGTAAACATTGTTAATGTATATATACGTGAGAGTGTGTGCGTGCGTGCGTGCGTGCGTGCATGCGTGATTTTAAAAATGAAATGTGAAAAATGAAAAAAACGCATAAGTATAATTTCTGAAAGAAATTTCAGGTAAACATTGTATATATGTGTATGTACGCGCCCGCGTGTGTGTGCGTGCGTGAGTGTGTGTGCGTGCGTGCGCGATAAAGATATATCATGAGGATGGACTGGTGTTTCAATTAAAATGATAAACTGGCATCATATAAATACTATCATTTGATCATCATCTGACAGTGAACGACATGCATTAGTTGAGTGATGTAAGTATTTGTCAAAACTAATAATGATTTTGCCTTATTGTTCACTAAATAAATTAACTAAATTCACCCTACCTCTCATTGGTTCAACTTCCTTTCCAACCACTTCGACATTGGAGTCATCAAGGAAGTACACGTCGTGAAAGCGACAGAACGACTCAATTTCATCACCGAAGAGGAGTTTGACTGCAAATGGTGTGAAGGGCTTGCAAGTGAGACTGGAGACATCTATCCTCTCCTCCTGGCCTTCTGTTTCATCCCCGGTTGTGTCCTGTAAGCAGTAGTCGTGTCAATGTACTGATACCCAACTGAGGTAAGATGTGCCCCAATGTGAACACTTTCTTTCACATGTGAGTGACTGATTGTGTTTAATGGCGCTGTGGGAAATATTTCATTTATACCAAGGCACACCAGCTTAATAGGCAAAGAAAGCCATTTGATTGTATCGGACGTTTACTACCCACGAGCACACGTATAGTGTTCACAAAACAACAATGATATGGGTGAAACTGGGATTAGAACCCATTATTAGACCCCTTGCACTCCTGAGCCACGCAACTCTGCACAACATGTGGCGCACAAGACAACTGGGCAACTAGTGCTCTGTTCTTAAGCAACAAATTAATGTTTATAAATAACTGTACAGACAAGATCAGTTCATTACACGAAGATGTATCACTGAACAATATAATCTAACATTCGAAAGTAACAGTAAACATCATCGCCATTTCAAATAACATGACGATATATAGAAATTCTGGTTCTAAAACACAGGAAACGAAACATTCTTTCACTAGAGACTAGATGTGTGTACATAATGACCAAATGTACCTGTCTGTCGCCGTTCACCACTGCCTGCATTGCTGCATATGTCAGGTCTGTGTGTTGGATGTAACACTTTTTGTCCACACTGTCGCGAATTGCCACCAGATTCTGAAAGAAAGTTACAAGAAATAAGCTTCAGACAAACTCATTACAAACATATTATTCGTGGAATAATATACCCGATTATATTTTTCAATTATCAATCAAGTCTCTTAATGTCGATATTATCTGTTTTGATATTATACACACCCTATTGAAGACAAACAAGTTAGTTGTCTCTCTGAAGTTTTCTGCAGAACCCTCAGGCTTGTGGGAAACTGTAATCATTGTCTTCCCATCCATTGCGATGTCAAATGGAACCTTATCCCCATTTGGAACACGCCCTGTCTTATGTTTCCACTGAAAGTAAATTAACGTGAATCAAAAACACAGTCACATATCAAATGAAACAACATTTGATAAACACATAAAACAACATTTCGGAGGAAGTGTTTAGTGTTAATGAAATCAATGTCAATAATGTATTCACGTTGTCATGCGTAAATGAGAATGTATCCATAGCTTTTCTGAAAAACATTATCTGGAGATCTGCATGAGTGTGATTTTGTTCTCACTATGAAGCATTCGGCCCGGGGTACTGATCCAACATAGTCGTAAAATGTACGCTTGATTTCACGCCCGCTTATCCGTTGACCTGGCGAAGATGTATCAATGAATATACTAAGTCTTGTTTTTGTGTTCGCCGTGTATTTCATATAACAATAAAAACACGATTCATTTAGCTGAAATCACATGAATGTGAGTGAGTGAGTTTGATTTTACGCTGCTTAAGCATTATTCCAGCAATATCACGTCGGGGGATACCAGAAATGGGCTTCACACATTGTACCCATGTTGGGAATCGAACCCGGTTCTTCGGCGTGACGAGCGAACGCTTTAACCACTAGGCTACCCGACCGTCCTTCAAATGAATGTCCTTCATGATATACATATAATACAGGAAGGGCCTGATTTCATACACGTGTACATGTCATTCAACTAAATGGATTGATATAATATAGAACGGTTACTTCCCTGAACACAGAACTAATAGTCAAATATTGTCAATGTCCATCAATGCGTGAAGTCTATTCCGCCTGTTACTGAAGCGAAAACATGATTTTATTGCCCTTCATTACCTAAATGTATCACCCCGCTCGCACTCAAGGGGGTGTTTAATGAGAGTCAGTGAGTTGGGTTTAAGCCGCTTTTACCAAAATACCAGCAACATCATGGCGGGGAACACCAGAAATGTGGTTATTTTAGTAAGATGATCAGGCCAACAGGCGCAATATATAAAAAGGTAGGACTGTAAAAGCAGGAATTATTGTTTGATTGAGTGAGTTAGTTGGTTTTACGCCCCTTTTTAGCAATATTCCGACACGGTGAGGGTTCACACATTATACGCATGTGGGAAATCGAATCCGGGTTTCAATAACCACCAGGCTACCCCACCGTCTCCTTTGATGTTTGATAACACGGGTAAAACTAATCTAAAGCTACAGTATAATGAGTATAGAACACGACAGGTAAATATGGGTTCCAAAATGGCCATTAAGATCCGTATGTTTAGATCATTTGATGAAGCACATGATGACGATACATGATCACATACTTGCTTGTGTGGGTGAGTGAGGGAGTTGGGTTTAACGCCACTTTTAACAGTATTCTAGTCATATCGCGGCGTATCAGCTTAACGTGGGTTGAAAGTCCGAAGTGATGCAGGTCTTAGACGTTTACCTATTCGGTGAAACCCACGAGCACGGGTATGGTGCTGACAAACCTAGAAACATAATCGGGGCGAACCGGGATTCGAACCCGCAATCAAGGTTTCTGGCCTGCCCAAGGGACGAATTCTGCACAGCGAATCGCGGCGCCTTAGACGACTGGGCCACCTGTGCCCCCTTCCGGGGTAGAAATGGCCCCCATTTACTTGTCATAGCTTCAGTAGATGTGATCGTGACAGGCTCGGTAACTTGGTTGATTGTGTGCCATCGTACCCCGACTACGCGTGACATTGTTCATCATACCAACCACTGGTTTGTCTTTGCAGACTGTGGTAATCTAACTTGGATATTGCTGACTGGTGAGCATTATTAACTTCACTTCAAAATGAGGTTTTTTTCACATTTCACGGTGAATACATTCGCTCATGAAGAACAATCTGCTTACTTCTAAAAGGAAAATAGCATGGCGCTGATAGACGTATTGCACGCTTGCATAATAATACTATACTACTACTACCACCACTACTACTGCTTCATCAACAACAATAATAATAATCATAATCATGATAATAATAATAATAATCCATGCCCCCATACCTGTACTGCAGAACACACGGCCAGAAGGAGAACAACAGCATATAGTGATGCAAATTCCATCTTCTTGAATTTCCTGAAATTGTAATGAAAACGTATTACAACTATTCAAAAAAGTCCCAGGAAAAATGAAGAAACGACCGAAAAGCAAGCAAGTAATGCTTTAATTTATTTGACATTAGAATTTCATAATTAATCAAATAAATATACTTTAAAACAACATAACCTTAAGACATACCTGTACTGAGACTTCACTTCACAACCAGCTGACAGAGAGGAATATTGAATCCGATTTAGTTTCAGGTATTTATACAGAATAATATCCTGTTTCATTGTGATTTTCATTGGATGCCAAACCCCTCCAATAAGATAAAATGTTGATATCCCCATTATTTTCAAACAGGTAGTACTGCGCAGTATTCACCCACACGCACCGGTGACTTTGTATATATGCCTTGAGGCCATCTTATATTCATCCCGGGAGTGCTGGAGATACGTCCTTCCGATTGTTATCAGTTGTATCTTAAAATGTGTGTTCCTGTTTCGCTTTTATTATTGTCATGGCTCATATAAATTTGGATTCTGGAATAAACATAATATCCGATTTTCTTAAAATAAGAAATATATTGCATATTTGATCCCTTCCAGAGTGGATGAATACTATGTTCAGTAATTACATTATTTTTATATATTCGAGGTCTGTTCACAGTTTAATCTGGGTGCAGCAAATCAGTTGGCGATGGTATGGACAACATCGCTGTGTACGATGACACAAAATAAATACAACATGTCAACGCCAGATAATAACTAGTTTTGATTATCCTCCGAAACAGATTTCGTTGGGCTTAAAAGACAAAATAGAGGTGAAAAATGAACAAGGACACACACTTAAGGTTCTACTACACCAAATCAGAACCAGTTGGGACAGTGCGGTTTTCGTAGGGCCTTCAGTGCAGATCGAGAGATATCTGCAGGCTGTGATTGGAGGATATTGGGTAAGATTGTTATGTCTTTTAAATGTACATCCATCCAGTTATTAAAACTGACCATGTCTTTCTATATTTAGAACTGTCTTTTTCAACATGATGACTTATGCTGAATGTGACCGCAGCTATTTTTAAGTAGGTGACATTTGGTGCGAAACTGGTGGTGGTGTGTTTATCTTCCTGTACTCGGAAAAGGAGCTGGCTAAGCTGGTCATTTTTGGGTTTTTATTGCTGCTCTCAGGCCAAACTGTGCACACACGTACAGGTAATAGCTGTTTTTAAAAAATATAACGTTACTATAGAAGTCTATTGGAAAACATTTGGTTGTGTGTTACCTGTGATCCTGATTTCAGACTACCATTGGGAAATAGGAAAAATTCTGCCAAATAATGTGACAGGATGCTATCTAAATTCAATATGTCAGCGCCAGCCAATAATCAGTCTCGATTATCTATGGGATAGCATCGCGCATGTTGACTAGTAACGTGTGGTATTTAGTACAATCCGCTGAATGTTTACTATACAATTTCTGGAATGTATTGACCTGATCTTTGTTGGTAAAGCCTTGATTACAAAGCTTAGCCTAAGAAAACAGTGTTTTTACATGAAATTTGAATATAACTTGCATGCTCTTAAGTACAGAAACAACTGAGACATGTAGGCACTGCAAGCTGGAGCTGATGGTATATTGATCGACGTAAAGGGAAAATTCAAAATGGGAAAATCGAAATCACCCCTCTTTGACATACAGCTTTATAAAGAGGTTCCATGGAGGCGATCTCTGTAACTAAAGTAGTCAAATAACCGTTTTGCATGCAAATGTGACTATTAGACATATGCATACAATGGAATCTGCCTTTCAGATTTCAACATTCAAGGCTTTAGTAAAACTTTTTAAAATGTGGAGGCCATTTCAAGATGTGACGCACGAATGACTGCAGTGATTGCCGATGCAATTCTTTATTTTATATGTATCATGTTTCTGTGCATGTCGTTTTCATCATTATTATTATTTTTATTATTGTGACGTCCTATAGAATAATATTTAGCACCCTACTTATACGTTGTGTATTTAGATCCATTTGACAATGAGATCTTCTTAAGACCTCCTTGTCCTTGGAACAGGATGGATAATGTACACTTTACGATCGTAATATCAGGTAATATCACTTTGGATTAACTTATGTTATGAGTGGATTGTCTTAATATATGGTTTGAAATTTATTTTTCGATTATTTATTCTTTGACTAACGCTGAAATTGCGTCTGTGCTTTTATACAAAACATGTTAATCTTTATGACAAACCAATTTCATATCCCCTTTTTTAAACAAATCCCAACCATAGGTACTTGATTGACGAACTAATTCAGCTGTAAAAATGTCCTGAGGTGAATGGATATTGTAAATGCATTTTAACAATGTCTTTATTCTACACATATCTACACTGAAGTTTCCCATTGAAGAGGACATCATACGGTGAACATATCATGTACAGAGAGATGTGATGAGAGGTGTCAACACATCAAGTTTACCCTATCGATCAGGTCACTTTACAAAGTATCATTTTATTTCCTGACAGTTGGCTTGCTTTTGCATGTGTTTGTGTCGATGCCACCTTTTCGCGAACAGCTGGTATAATCCTACAGTGATTAATAAATACATACTCATGATATCGTCGGTTTCGTACAATCGACTCTGCTTTTCTTATTAATGGGCAATGTCGCTTGTATTTAAAAGCGCACTAAACGAATGATAATAGGTAGCAGGACTTGTTGAACTGTTCAGTTGACATTAAATATTGTTTTTGTCGATGTACCAACCCCTATTCACAACTGGCAGCTATATCTTTGAAACTTCGTCATGGAAAGGCATCGCAAGAATGTAATTCACACATACATGCTATTTATGTACATACTTTAAAATACACATTTATATATATGAAAACTCATTTTATTTAACAACCTAGACAAACAACAATTGTTTAAAAGCCCAATATTTATCAGAACGCAACTACGAACGAGATAATGTTCGAATCGGACTATTAATTCTCCGTTACTATCAGCATATCTTGCCATCTGACCAGGACGCGGAGACAGGTCTACTAAGACGTCAAAGCAAGCGACCAATCGGAAAACAGGCCAACTGTGACAACCAATGGATGGCCGTAAACACGGAAGTAGGTATATACATGTACTGCGACTACCGGGTTCTCCTCGAGGCACAAGTTAAGCGTACAGTCTTTAACTTCATGCTTGGGTAGTAAAGGCCATTAGCTGCGTTCTGCATTGATAATAAGCCAAGGGCAACCAGTTCAATATCACTCCAGTGAACCCTTGATGTCATACAAAATGTTTTCAATTTGTTTCAGATAATTTTGCTCTATTATGTAGGTTCTTGATAGAATATATCATTCCTATAACTTACTTTTTATGCGCTTGTTTACTAGCATAATAAACATATAAATTACCTGCCGATACAGGTTCCATTTGGCGTAAAAGGCAAAATAGTGGTAAACATTATAGAAATGGATCACTGAAAATCAGTGATGACACCAGGTGATCGCAAAACTTGAAAACATGTAATGCTCTAACCGGGAGGACCCTCTACTCCAGTTAGTGTTTGTTTGTAAACAATCCTCTTAGGACTGCTTATGAGCATGTTATCAACAAGTGTGAAGACAGTCAGTTCGGGATATTCCATGCTAACAGACAACGTACTGGAAGGGTCTTGACAGTAATGTGTGCATGCTGGGCAATATCAATCATACCATGATGTTAGCTGGGGGCCGCGTTAAACCCAACTTACTCACTCACCCTAGTCTGCTTCGCTGTACCTATCTCCGTCATGAGAACACAGCGAGTATGCGTGTGTTTAACCAGGGAACTGACTTCTATAATAAGATGACATTCATTTTTATCTGTACATGTACATGTATACCATTATAACAATAGTACCGTTATTGTGTTGTAACTTGTTGAAATATCTCATCCAATTTTCAGCTTCTTAATTACACACAAGTTCCGTGAAGATCCGGGGTAGAATTGGTCTTCAGCAACCCATGCTTGCTGTAAAAAGGCGACTATGCTTGTCGTAAGAGGCGACTAACGGGATGGGGTGGTCAGGATAGCTGCCTTGGTTGCTGCATGTCATCTTATCCCAACTGCATAGATCGATGCTCATGATATCAATCACTTGATTGTCTGGTCCAGACTCGATTATTTACAGACCACCGTCATATACTAGCAGCTGACTATTGCTTAGTGCTGCGTTAAATAACAAACAAACACATCTTACACATGTACCATGTCAATATGGTCAAGTTGTGTTTTTCGGTTCTATTATTTCTTCATCGCTATATGCTTCCGTCTCCAGACTTGATAAGTATCAGCATATTATCGCAAATCACATAATATCGAATGTATTTTATCACGTGTTTTTGGCCATGCTCTGGCTTTTGCCGGTAGGCAATGTAAGTTTTGAGAACTTGGGTGATCCATGATGTACGTGTTGCCGTGTAGACGTCAAGTAGAAAATACTGGCAGCAGTACTCTGAATCTAAAGCAGTTCGAGACTCGGTTCTTCGTTAAAGCCGAAAAAAGTAGCACATTCTGGGTTACAAGACTTCAGACCAGAAGGTGGCGTTTCCAGTAGAACGAGGGTGAAAATCACGGACTCTGCAGAGATTTGGCTCCAAATAAGAACAATGAATTGCCAAATATCTCAAAATCGTGAATAGATGACGGAGGCGGTATTCGCCTATTGGTCCTCAGTAGTTCCACGATTGGGGATTATATGTTCATATGCCAGTTCATATGTTCATACGCCGTGATGGTAATCTTGGTTTGTAAGTATAAGGCCCATGTTTGTTTCACGAACGTATGAAACGTCTGGAGCTAATGGGCCATTTTGCGATTTCCTACCTCATTAAACCGCCACGTTTAGATAAGACTAGCACACTGATGCGGTGTTAGTTAATCCTAGTAACTTACACTCACACATCTGGGGGTTATGTACGTATGCATGATTGGTCACACACACACACACACACACATATGCAGATGTGTAATGCTGGTAATGCGTGGATGAAACCAATTATGGAACGAGTCTGGACCAGACAATCCAGTGATTGACATCATGAGCATCGATTCACGCTATTGGAATACGATGACCTGCATCAACCAAATCAGCGAGCCTGACCACCCGATCCCGTTAGTCGCCTCTTACGACAAGCATAGTCGTCTTTTACGGCAAGCATGGGTTGCTGAAGACCTATTCTACCCCTGGTCTACCAATTACACGTTATTTTTCAACATGGAGAAAATGAACTTGAGTCATACCTTTGGTGGCTTCATGGATCTGATGACGCAGCAGCAATGGACCTACAGTTGGACGGGTTGCGTCCCTTGGGCGTGCCAGAATCCTAAGATCGTTTCTCCGAAAACCAAAATGATTTTGGTTAAATATCATCAAGCACATAATCGTGGTTTCAGCACAGTGAATGTGTCAGAGCCGCATCACTTCGATCACTTCTAGACTTTCCTGCAAAGTTAAGCTGACACGATGGAAAAAACCCTGTAAAACCGTTCACAACGGCGTTAAACACAGCCAACTCATTCACTCACTGTACGGAGAACTTCAAAGGTCAGGATGACAAGTCATAATACGACATTGAATATTGGAGTCACTGCATGCCAACTGTATAAGGATATATCCAGTTATAGCAGTTTAATGGTTGACAGTTCGGTTTTGAAGTGTCAGAGTAATCACCGTAATACATGCAAAGTTTCAGTTTCGTTGGTAGATTAGTTCCTTGTGTAAAACATGAAATGAAATGGCTTCGGACAGGCATTGTGTTTGTTTGATTGGACCAAATAATCCAGTGATTGACATCATGAGCATCGATCCACGCAATTGGGATAAGATGACATGCATCAACCAAGTCAGCGAGCCTGACCACCCGATCCCCTTAATCGCCTCCCACGACAAGCATTGTCGCCTCTTTCAGCAAGCATTGCTTGCTGAAGACCTATTCTAACCCGGATCGACAGTCATTGCCCTTGACATCAAAGAGTTTTAATAGCATTTGAACGAAATCTCTTTATTTGAGGTCAACATATCAAATGGATAGTGTTCTTTTGAACACAGTAACAAAAATAAGGTTCTCCTATAATAATATCGTATACATCGTAAACTTGCTACCCTCACAAGTTTGTGCCGGTCGTGGAAGAAATACCTTAGGGCGTCTGTTAACTTAAATCTTATGATCAAATTAGTTGAAACCTTTGTTAGTTTGTTTGTTTGTTGTTTAACGCCGCACTCAGCAATATTTCAGCTATATGACGGCGGTTTGTAAAGAATCGAGTCTGGACCAGACAATCCAGCAATTGACATCATGAGCATCGAGATTAAGACACGATGACATGCATCAACCAAGTCAGCGAAACTGTCCACCACATCCCGCTAGTGTCCTCTTTCGACAAGCATAGTCGCCTTTTACGGCAAGCATGGGCTGCTGAAGACCTATTCTGACCCGGATCTTCACGGGTCGAAGACTGATGTTCAGAATAATTACGCATCACTTTAACATATGTATGAATATAGTTACATAAAAACAATATAAGTAGGACCGAAAACGTGTGATACATTAGTGTAACTTCAGTTACTTTGATTAAAGGAGATTTAAGGTGCAGTGGTTTGTTAGGTAAGTGTGCATGTAGCAGGAAAACAAATAAGGTATAAATTCCATTGCCATGAGTCGTCACGTGTAGAGATACTTTAGTCTGATAGTTCTGTTAAACGCATATCATAGATGTATGTGATACTCGTACATGACAAATTTCCAATCGACACAAATGTGGATGAACTGGGGTAATGACATACTTTAACACTAAAACTACCATGATCATGACAGCCCAATCTCTGCATAATACAATGTTCTAGATTTTGGCGGTGGATTGGTTGGGAGCATTGATAAAAACTTTGATTTAAAAGTCTTTAACTACCGATTATATATTTTGCTTCCCAGCTTGGGAACGTGGTATGGAGCATGTGTGTTTAGGTGTAGTCTAAAACGGGGGTTAATGCTATCATAAATAGAAAACCAGATCATACGGGTTTCAACTAACGTTAAAAAGAACAAATAAAAATTTAACAATGCAATATTGATATATGCATATTCACATTACAGTTATGATTCACGGTAATTTTGGCTTACAGTAACGCGATATTGAATAATAAAAAAATATGTAGTTCATTTGGAGCACCCATATATATTTTTATTTTAGCACCCATGGATATGATATGGAGCACCCATAAAACAATGACAGATGTGATGAGATGAAATAATACATTTGACTATTCTTTAAACGAATTTTACACCACTTTAATTCGATTGTACTGAGGTGTGGGGGTATACACATACGTATAGAAAGAGCGTCATACGAAACGATTTTAAACATAGTACTTAATACATAAAAAATGCACATTTCTAATGCGCCATGGTACTGGTACAAGCTCATAGCGCTACATTATGAAATTATGAAAAACAGAAACTGAATTTTGGCATCGTAAAGATGTGATTTCAAAGATTTGAAAGATGTGATTTCAGTTTCGATCGAAAAGTGATAAGACTAATGCCCGATTTGATAATTTGATGTCAGGGGGTAGAGAGTTCCCACACTGGAGTTTTGATTTTGTATCTGGAGCTGAGATAAACGTAAGAAGAACGATCAGTTCTTTTTGAAACGATACGTGTATCATGAAGAAATCTGTGTCAAAATAACGTACCGAATATTTTTACGTACACTGACATTATTTTTGTCGTGCTAGTATTCATATTATACAATTCAAAGGTAAATTCTTTGAATAAATGGAAAAGACACAAGATTAGTCCACATACAAGTAAAACTGTATAACTGCAATGTTTTACAAATCTAAACTCTAAAATTTTGAACCTTGAAAATGTTACACTGATTTACTCATCTACATGTAGTCGGCACAACAAAATTCAAAATATTTTCCAAAATACACATATTATGAGAGTCATTTAACTAATTACACCCTCTCAGTACTCTGAATCTAACGAAACCTTGTTTTGTATTGACACCATATAGAACAAACCAAGGAAAATCTTATTTAATCCTTCTGATTAATTTAACAATAATGTCAGTGTTTTGGGTCAGTTTACTTTCCCTTCTGAATTTCCAATGAATACCATGATCATCAGTCATGCATAGTCTATTTTATGCAACATGAAATTATTCAAAGTCAAAATAAGATGAACACAAGGAATCCTATCCGTCACATTAGGTTGCCACTCTATCACTTAAACTTTTAGTGTGCAACACTGTAATACATAATTTGATCCCTTCAATAACAGTTTACCTTTAAGGGTAGTATAGCATACCTGCATCTTACCTATACGTCAAGCCTTATCAACATTTCGCAAATCGAGCGTTCCTAGTTGTGATTAACCACAGGTTTATCAACTTGGATGTATCTACAGTCTACACTGTAAGTATGATTTCAGGCACAATGAAAATAGTGTACATGCTTTCATAAACCATGGAGTTCTCCTTTTACGATTTGTTGACATTACAATTCAGTTGACAATCAAATTGTCCAAAAATCTTTCATGAATTCAAAGGATTGATTAGCCTTCTGTTAGTCTAGTTGTCCCATTATTTCAATCTGTAGTGTATGACCCCGTTTTGTCCTAAGTTTTCAGTTTGACGTGGCAGTCATATTCAATGTCGGATCACTGAGACCATATCATTCAAGGTTGAGATTTCACGCTCCTACAAATCTTTGCTTACCCATCCATCGGACGATTGATAAAGGACGGATCGATATTGAATCTAATTCTAAGCCACTTCTTTGCAAACGACCCGTGGAGCCAGTTATGGGAATGTAAGAGTTCTTGCATTATTGGAGGTAGTGTTTTGCCTGTAAAGTTGCTACTGTAGTCAGTGCAACTGCAACCACAAGACTTTATCTTTTCCAAAGGATTTGACGTATGGAACAAGTAACTCCTGTGACTGGACATCTAATAGAAGGCATTCCCCTTGGAAGATCAACATTGCCGAGGTTTACATTTCTTCTGAATGTTTGGCGGATCATTGTGTGTTTTCCTCCTACATCACTGTCTGTAGTTGCTGAAAGAAACAATGGTTATGCTGATATATAACTGAAATACGATAAATATTCTCAGTCAACAGCTTCTGTTAATACTCCGTAGCAATACGAACCGAGGCATCATCTGAACATACAACATAGACGCTCACCAGATACTACTGTGGCCTAAACTGTCAGCCAATCACAACGTCGAAGTCATGGTCATCCTCATTAAAATAGGACTTGTAATATAAACGAAATGTGAAGCAACAATTTCACTAAGAAAGTCAAAGACACCGAGTGTCCGAAAACGTACGAAGATGCACTATCCTCCCAGTAACACGTCCTAAAAAGTAGTTCTCACTCAAGTCACATGAGGATGACAATTTTAAAACTGCTTACTCCAGCAGCTTTATCGTTAGGTTAAAACAATACAGATGTATTCTTGACGATTAAAAAACCTATCAATACTTCTGATTGTTATCCATTACAGTGAGTTGGGTTTAACGTCGCTTTGAACAGTATTTCAGTTACATGTATACACCTCGTCATAAATATCGCACCACACATTTTAATGTAAAAGTAGAAAATATAATTTTCGGTTTTTTAAACTACAAGTACAGATTTCATATACTACACCATCTGTGAACATAATATCACAAACACACCCTTTTCCGAGCTGCACGTGCATGCTTGCGTTGAGCATGCTTGTACCGGGGGTCGGTTTGCTAAAAATGCAGTATGCACATCGCCTCTTTTGGCGTATGTTATGTTGGCAGGCACAGCTAAAATTTGGTTTTAGGCATAAATTAAGCTTTATTTTGACCAACCAGTGAAATGCCCAAGCGTCCAGTGCCTCTGAACCAAAGATGGCAAATTATTGGTATGCACCAGACTGGTATGTCATATCGTGCTATTGGAGCACAACTGAACATTAATCACCCTGTCATCAGCAGGCTAATACGTAAGCATACTGCTTCCGGTGAAGTGAAGGATGCACCGAGGTCTGGACGTCCCAGAAAAACCAATGACAGGAAAGATCGTGCTCTCGTATGCTAAGCCAGACGAAGCCCAAAGTCCTCTTAGTGTACACAGCTGCGACATGGATGGCATCCATACAACAGAGTGTCCATGGGCACCATCAGATGACGCCGAAATTCTGCAGGATTGAGAGCAAGACGGCCAATCAGACGTCCACTCCTCACAAATCAGCACCGCCATGCCCGTTTAGCCTGTTGCCAAACATGTGCTCGCTGGAACCTGAGGAGATGGAGAAGCATCCACTGGTCCGATGAAAGCAGATTTCTGCTGCATCATACAGACGGGAGGGCACGAGTTTGGAGGCAGAGAGGCACAGCATATGATCAGAGGAACATTCAAGCTGATGATCCATTTGAGGGTGTATCCGTCATGGTGTGGGGGTGTTGTCCCTACGATTGTAAACTTGACCTCATCACAGTTCCCGGAACACCGAATGGACAGAGGTACCAGAACTTGATCCTTGACGGTGCTGTTGTGCCTCATTTCGATAACCATGCTCTCGCCACACGTCCAGTCTTCATATAATAACGATACGATAATGCCAGACCACATCGTGCTCGAGCCGTTGTTCAGCATCTCCAACACAACGCCATTGACCTATGATTGTGGGTTCGAATCTCGGTTCGCCCCGATTATGTTTCTAGGTTTGTCAGCACCATACCCGTGCTCGTGGGTTTCACCGAAGTGGTAAACGTCTGAGACCTGCATCACTTCGGGCTTTCCTCCCACATTAAGCTGACACGCCGCGATATAACTGGAATACTGTTAAAAGCGGCGTTAAACCCAACTCACTCACTCACTCACTCAACGCCATTGAGACACTACCCTGGCTTGCCAGAAGTCCAGACATTAATCCTATTGACCATTTGTGGGACATTTTGGGACGTAGGGCGAGAGCAAGGGATCCTCCAGTTCAGAACCTTCAGGAATTGAACTTTAGTTTGCTACAATTAAACCCTCAATTAGTGCACAAATTCGGTCTTGTGTTGTCAATTTTCTGACTGAACGCTCACATGAGGCCATACAAACAGTTTCATGTGCTTTTCTAAGCACCATTTTTATGAGGTTGAAGATCCAGTTAAAAGTGGGTGGTACGATATTTATGACGAGGTGTATATATCACCGCGTGTCAGCGAATTGTGGAAGGAAAAACGGAGGTGATGTAGGTCTGACACGTTTACCACCATTGGTGAAACCAACGAGCATAGGGATGGTGCTGACAATCCTAGAAACATAATCGGGCGGGATTGGGGATTTGAACCAATGATAATAGGTTTCTGGAATGCTCAAGCTCAACTTTTTTCTTAAGTTGCGTCAGTAAGCGGTGCCAGAATGAGCTCACCGCAGGTTGAAAAAAATAATTATCCTTGTTTTTTTAACGCCATTACTCATGCTCCTGGGTTTCAACGTGCTTTTCTTACGCATTAATCTGACAGTTCATGATAAAACTAAATTACTGTTCAGAGCGGCGGTAAAATCACTCAAGCTCGCTCAGACCAGCTGTACAGATGATCGATACATGTCAGTCGTTGAGTGAGAGAGCCTTAGACGCCTCATACCCGTGCCCCTAAAGTCGAATGATTTACCGCTTGTCGAGGCGTCTTTTCTTAAACATTTTAAGGGACAAACATCCTGCATTACCCTTGATTATTATATCTCCATTATATCGATATTACATATCCTGGACGAATCCGCCAACATGATATTATCCTGACTTAACACGTAGCTATAGTGGCGGATAAGCAGGGATGGAGAAAGAAATCGTTGTGATATATTTCACATCTAGAAGAAGAGAATTTATTGAAAAACAAAATGATGAGAAAAAATGAACCTACCTCTTGCTCAATGTGAGCATTTTGGTCTTCACGACGTCCAAGCTGTTCAATTCTCGTCCTACATGTACGTCTGTACTTCCTAACACATAGCGGTAACAGTGGTGCAATACTTTGTCACAAATATATTTTCTGTAATAATAATCTTTGTGTTTTACAGTACAGTTTTCATTTAAGCTGTATAGTAAATAATCACACGAAAAAACAGAACAGTTTTCAGCTTGCCTTGAATTTTTATGTTCACAGAAAATGAAATTCTAGGTTCGAGATAGTAAAATTCAAAATTGTTCAGCCATAATACAGAAAGACTCGACAAATGTCACGTTGAATTTGCCCAAGAGAAGTACAGGGAGGTTACAGCAGTCTCTTAATGCCAATTGGCAGCTTCAGGAATCGTGTAATTTCATTGGTTAATGACGCATTGCTGGAACTACAATTTCCCATCCATCATGTTCTTTCATCTTTTTCCACAAACAAATACAAGACACATGTTTACGTTTACGACAAAGAAATGCACAAAACATATTAATTACATTGTTGTCTCCGATAAAAGTAAACGGAAATCTGGTTAGAAGAGTAGTGAACATAAAACATAGGTGGGCATCCCTCGTTTTAAACTATGTTTCATTCCAGAAACAGTGACTTCAGTGTCTGCCACGCCCCAACATTTTGGTCTAAATCAATAATTTGTGGATGATTTGATGGATAATGATTTCTTTGATGAGCCCGAATAACATCCCTGATGTTCCTAAACAAGCAGAAAGATTTGTTGGTGTACACGATGGCGACACTGACAATTTTTTTGGCAAAAATGTAAATGCAAACATTACCCAATATGCGAGTTGTCAAAACGTTTCTTTCACACAAATTGAATGAGCAAAGCCCAATTGAAGTTATCCCTCCCGCTGAACTTAATATGATCAAATTCAAATGTTTCATTGGCGTTGGGAAACAGCATGGTTCCGAGTACGAGCCTAGCTCACTCATTTGATTTAGGAGCAGTTTAAACGCAACGATTATGGTTTCTCACTTTCCGAATGAATTGACTGTTCCAAAATGAGGGATGTCATCAACTCAAAAACAATATCACTGAAAAAAAACAAACAGGGAAAGGGTAACCTCTTACCCCACAGTGCGGAAGCGATTTTCACCAGAACAGTGAAATAAAACAACGAGATGCAGGCCATCATGTCGTCCAGTCATCGTGTATAAGGTGTTCCGCGACTTGAGACCCAATACATTTTCGGGGAGGGAAGATCCATTCTACCTCGCAACAAACGCTAGAAGGTGTTCCAAATCTGACGTAACCTGGTTCAAAAGGCAGCCAGTTGGGAAAATCGAACTTGGTGCACTTGTGAAAAAAACATGGCTTCCAAAGCCAACCTATCATCCCACAAACGTATAAGTGATCACAGAGCTAGGAAACACACGATGCAATCACTGTCTGGAAAGTGCGTTCACGCCCACCAAATTATGAAAGTGTCCGAGTACACAAATATACAATGATCTAACTGAAGACAACACCATTGTATCTCCAACATTTTGTCCAATTACAATGCACGCAGTGACCCCGTCAAACTTCTTTCGGATTCCGCTCGACCTGTGTCAATCAGTGCTATCCCAACCGTTGAAAGATCTGACCAATTCGCATGTTGTTCCAGTATCCACCTCGATAAAAACATGATTTCGTGATATCTTCACACGAGCAGCACGCACCTACTGATATGACCCTCTGCTTGTTTTCTGGCCCGATCTTCGGCGACGTATCCAATATTTGCAAACCTGCTGAGTCGGACGTTGGGTCTACTGCCCCCAAACGTCGCCGCATTGTCGACATATTTTCGGACTCAGAATGAACTCTTGCTCCAATGTTCTTGTTTAATAAACATTTACGTTTAACTTCCGTGAAAATGCTACATACACACTCTGGCCGAGATCTATAATATCAGTTTAAAGTCAAGGCCACGCCACATATATTCCAATATTCGAGTTTGAAATATTGATTCTTGTTTTAAAATGTGAGACATATGCTCACTTGAGTGAGTGAGTATGGTTTAACGCCGCTTTTAGCAATATTCAAGCAATATCACGGCGGGGGACACCAGAAATGGGCTTCACACATTGTACCCATGTCGGGAATCAAACCCGGGCCTTTTGCGTGACGAGCGAACGCTTTAACCACTAGGCTACACGACGAACTATTTCGCATTCGCGGAATCTTAGTATTGAGTGTAAACTGTGTGTGATCAGGTAAAATTCGGCGAATTTTATGACGTTTCAACCGCGTATGAATATTATGAAATGCGAGTTCGCCTCTGTTATAAGAATTAACTGTTTCTAGTCATTTCATCTTCTTATTTTTAAAAATTGACGACGGTTATAAAAACAATATAACTACTCGTGACGAGGAATGACGGATTGTCTCACCCTGGTGAAATTAAAATCAAGCCTCGGGACTTACAACATTAATTTCACTCGGGACAGATAATCCGTCATTCCTCGTCTCGCGTAAACAATTGTCTATTTCCCCACCATACAACAAAACACAGAGAACTACCAAACTACAGAACAGTGGGATGCAGTGCACAGAAACCATACTTAAATAACACATGCTTGAAAGAGTAAAACCCGAGCGAATCGCAACTGAAAATGAAGTTAAAATAGTCAGTTATGTTTGCGAGCCCTTCTAGCATAGGTGAGGTCGGAGTCGGAAATGAATGAAGTCATACGTCGCACCTTTATTTATATGTTACTCCTTTGCGCCAACTATTACGGGACTACGTCTGTTTGTTTGACTTCCTATATATTTGCTTTCCTATTCATCCCTCTATCTATAGAAATAATATGTCCTTTTGTCAAACGAGCGGGTGGAGAAAAATATGAAAAAGAACAAAAATGCCTTTGGTTGAGAATATAAATAGCAACTTCAGGGATCCGATACGTGCAACATGGCACGTTTTCCCTAAACGCATGTGCGCATTATTTAAAGACTTCACTTTTTTTATTTTTATATTTGAGAGGGACGGAAACATAGGCCCTGCGCAATTACAATATAAAATATACAAATTCTGAAATCTTCAGGCTCGGGATACTTGATCAACATGCTTTCCTGGGAACGCCCCTTAGGGAATCGCGTATTTTTATTAACCCCAATTTGTATCCCAGATTATTTCATGTCCGGTATGTAGACACAGAGGATTTTGTGAACACCCTATGTATGTAGGAAGCTTCAGATCCGACCAACCTTTAGAGAGTTATTTTTATGAAGTAGACACACACTTAACAACATTTCACAGATGGATAGACCAATTGGCATAACATAAACAAAAGTAAACACTGAGCATCAATACTTACCAAAAAAGAATCATAAACACAGCTACAATTACCAGGATAGATGCTGTTGTAATACAGATTACAGTGATCCAAGAACTCTTTGCTGCATGAAAGTAAAAAACAACATACAAGTGCACCTTTAAACAGAGCTCCAGATAAGCTTTTGGTGTTTTGGGTATTTTACCCATGCATTTTAAAATCATAGGGTATCAGTAATTCTATCTGGGTATTCACATTTCTGTTACCCACTAGTTTTTACACATGTGGGTATTCAAGTTAAATGTTTAAAAACACTTTTCATCTAGTCCCTGCAAACTGGTGTCGTGTGGGTTCGAGAGCTTTATAGGACTCAAAAATACCACGATACTTCCGCAAGAAAGTGTGATGGCAAATGATCAACATGATGTAACTGTCATTGTAGAGTTTGGCAAGGTTGACGGAATTCCCGTTTATAATTTCAAAATAAGTTGCTGATTTGCTAATCGAATACGCGGGGTTACTTCACAATATTTTGATGATACGCACAAGTTTTATTTTTGTAGCGTATCTGTAATGTTCGCTGCGTATTTGATACGCTTGGATTTTATTTTACTGCGCATTTCTGCATTTCTGATGCGTATTTTACGCAGATACGCAGCTTATCTGGAGCTCTGACTGTAAATCTTGGAGTGAATGCGGTTTCACACATTAAGACAGCGATATCCCAACGACCTGTAAAGTAACGCCCACGCCAGCGGAACGTGGCGACATACAATCAGCCACGTCGCTGAAACTGACCAGTCGATCTCTTAAGTGATGACCCCATGAGCATTGGTATGGAGGTGACAAACCCAATAACATAATCCTGCCGGAAATGGAGACAATTGGATAACGATGAGGCGCAAAAGGGACACAACTCTGTTGCTCTCGTGGTAAGCATTAAAAGAAGACAGGGTTTCTGTAAGCATCTATTCGAGCTACCACCGCATAAGTTCTCAATACATGTACATAGGTTCAGCACCAAATCCATTGTGGTTTCAGAGGATATATGAATAGTGCTGAGGCAATGCTGGTCACAAGGTACATTCCTATTACAGAATAAATAGGAAAAACTATGATTTCGTTATGAAAAGCTCCGCTGTAGAAATAACGATAAAGCTTTAGTTCTCGGGTCCAGTTCAAAACAAAACGTAGTAAAACACCTTTAACATGTATTTTTGGAAACCTGTTTTAAACATGTTTATGCAATGCCCATGTAAGGCTCAGCCTGGTCCAACATATAACTGTAGTTTCCTGTTCCCTCTGTCGCCTGGTTTCTGAGGAAAGGAATCTTAATCATTAGTTTGAAATTTGTTTTTTTAATTGAGAACAAAGAGAGCCAATCGTTCAGATTCAAAGTTCCGCTACACACCATACCACCGGTCCATCATTCTGGACCTGTGGTATCTGTGGACATGATTTAATGTATAAGTTTTTACAGTCACTTTATTTGATTAAAATGCCAAACAATCCCGAGTCTTATTTTGTAGTTCTAGACATGCTCCTTACGTTCATCCATTACGCCGATTATGGAGGAAGACGTGCGGCGGTCATTGGGAGCTGGAGTGAGTGAGTGAGTATGGTTTTACGCCGCTTTTAGCAATATTCCAGCAATATCACGGCGGGGGACACCAGAAATGGGCTTCACACATTGTGCCCATGTCGGGAATCGAACCCGGGTCTTCGGCGTGACGAGCGAACGCTTTAACCACTAGGCTACCCGACCGCCCCATATGGGGAGCTAGAAATGTCAGAAGTGTCCATTACATCACCTCACTTCAGTTGACACTCCAGCTCACTTTGAGCTCAGCTCAGTCCATTTGAGTTACAATGGCGTTGATCGGAGCACATGTATGAAGTCTCCTTCTTTGTGGTTTGCATAATTCCTACTTAGAAATAGTATGTTGTAATCCTTAGATGATCCATCATGATTTACAAGTCTTGCTATCATAACAAATCACATCAATGGTGAGGTGAAATTGGGTTGAACGTCGAGTTCAAGATTATTGCACTCATATAGCCACGTGCATCCACGTGTGTGTGTGACTGCTTGTACGAGTCCGGACTGATGCCGATATATTTAAAGTGTTGGCCCTGAGATACCATACCGCATTTTAACATGAATACCCAACTCAGACACAGTATACCGACTACGCGTCGACCAGTCCTTGTTTTAGCTCCTTAATGCCGAGAGCCAGACATGGTAACAACAAGTACCATCATTTAACGTCTTTCGGTATAACGCGGCCGGGGATAGAACCCCCGGCCGCGGACGGACGCTTTACCACTAGGCCACGGCGGTTGTAAAATCACATCAAAAGTTCAAAAATACTTTACAAACCCTAAAAATATGTTATATAACATATAATTCAGTATTTCATTGTCTTTCAGTTTGAGATAAAAAACATCGACAATATGAACGTCCAACAACGTCAAATTTACACAATATATATTATGAATGGTATCCTGATCCGTGGCAAAATCCGATGGGTGTGTTCTATACAAGCATTACCAGAGATTCATTACCTGACACGCACTGTCCTGCATCATCCAAGTCGCCTGCACGGCATCGTCTGCATGTTCCATTGTTCTGACAGCAGCTCCTACACTGACGGACAGGGCAGGGTGTGTCACAGTGTGTCCCATACCATCCATCGCGACATCCAGCACAACTTCCATCACTGTTACACGAGTTGTTCACACAGTTTCTGCTACACTGATACTGACAAAAGGCTCCCCAATATCCTCCCTCGCATGACAAACATTCACCACTATCATTACACGTTGTACACTTCGGCTTACAGGAGACTTTACAGTAGGGAGGCTGCCAGCCTCTGACACAGCCTTTTGTACAAAGAGGAAGGTCAGAGTCACTCTCCAGGACACAATCTCTGTCAATGCATTGATCAGTGCAGTTGCCATCACACGCAGGACCATAATAACCAACGTTACAATGGTTAAGACATGTCCCATTTGAATAACACGTATTATTTCCGCATCCAGTAGAACAAGACTTGTAACAAAAAATTCCATATAGTCCATCCTCGCATCCCAAATGACACGAACCGTCACTGTACAAACAGATGGAGTTCCTGCAATGATTACTACAATTGTTTTCACACCTGCTTCCCCACCATGTGGGTTTACAACCATCGGAGCATCTTCCGCGTTCACGGTCACAAAGAGTGTTGCCATAGCTCTCTCTGCACTGAAGTGGACATGCAATTGAACAGTTTATGGAATAGTATCCAGGGCTACACTGTTGACAAATACCAGTTGTTTGGTTACATCCTCCAATGTTACAGTTTTGACATTGGTCATTGCAGTCGTTGCCAAACCAGCCTCTCTCACAATACCGACAAGAACCTGATTCAGATGGCTCAACACAGTGCTCCGTGGTTCCCGCCTTCAAAATTCCAGCTGTTGGAAAAAAAGTAACCGTTATAATAGATCTGTTTGCGTGGACACTTACATGCAAGACTATTCTTTGGTCTGAATATAAATAATGTATGATAGTTGTTTTCTACGGATTGGGCTTTTACTCGTGTACAACAAACATCACCAAGGAACATCATTTCGTTTTCTGGATGGAAGATCAGATCGTTTTTTTACAAAAAGAAATAATCGAGTGAAAGATCTAAAGGGATGTAAACTTACAGACATGCAATACTGTGGTGACGGCTCGCCTAAGGGACACAGCAGTGAAATGAGGCGCCTTGGGCGAATGGGCAAACATTCCGGGTGTTTGGAATTTAGTCTATAATGTTTAATATAAATGCCAGCACACAAAATCGATTAGGTGCCCCACTCTGAGAGTGTGGGTTCGAATCCCGGACGTGACTCAACCCTAAAAAGTACGAGAATCTGTACTTTACTCAGAAAGTGTAATCCCAAATATAACATTTGTTACATTTGACCACTTTCTAAAAGGCATTGTGTGTTCATAGCTTTCGGCCATGGGAGCCATGCCAATTTACTCTTGTCAGAGGGGTACACAAAGTACGTAATCTAGACTACCATTTGTGGGACTTTCATTTTTGTCATTTACAAAAGCCCAAGCGTCACGACACACTTATTATAGGGGCACATGCATGATGTCACTATGTGCTGCGAATGAATGCTTACCTCAGGTGCAACGATCACGGGTTCAGATTCGATCAGATTATGAACCTTGAAATATATGCACAGTGCCAGTGGTCGTTACAACACCAGCAAAACCTTTTCTTCATGAAAAACACGCAGCTACCATCATACTCACACTCTATTATATATTTACAGCACATAGTTATAAACGTTATAACCGTATTGAACATAGAGACATTTCGAAGATATAATTTTATGTAATAATCAAGATTTTTTCTCCGGGAATGATATAGCAGAGTTCAGATACGTTGCACAGGCTGTATAATATATCGACAGATATATTTAATTATTGCCAAAAGCCAGTTCTGCAGGGAGATTATGTATTGGTGTTGGTAATGTCATAACAGACTGACTGTTTGAGTAGTGGTTTGTAAATACCATTCTAAGCCTTCATACCAATTTTTATACCATGCGCTTACGTTTTTCAATATGTGTATCAATATCACCTATGCGTTAAATAATTTTGTTGCCTCATTTCTGTGATTTAATAATTTATAATCAAATTCCCTCGGATGTAATGTGTCTTGATATTTAAAATAATTATTTAAAAAAGTACAGATTCAAACAGCTAGTGGTAGGTTTCAAATGGATAAATCATTTAAATAATTCGAATAGACAAACATATCCCAGATTGTATTCCCCAAAAGCTTATAATCAATACATGGATTAAACGTCTGCTGTTCATGCCTTTGACTCACGTTCGTTTCCACATAGGTTCATTCTTTTTATTACCACTTTAGTACGGTAAGTTGCAATGCAGTTGTTTCTGATGGTTGAATAGATATGTGGCCAAGTCATGTTTTAAGTATTTGTACATAAAAGTTAGATATTTTAGATGTTTCATTTTAGCTTTAAACTTTACAAACAGTACCCTACAATCCCTGAAACCCTTTAGAGTTATACAAGCCCTCAATACAATAAGCCTATCCCTGCACCCTGCATTTAACAATAGCCACCTTACTGGGTCAGGCCAGGTTCTGACCCATGCGTATGTACACTGCACAAGTTTCTTTTGTCTGTCTGCTTTAGTTTCTCTGGTCAGCTTACTATCTATTGTGTATGTAGTTTTAAAGGTTTCTGTCCCGCATATCCTGTAGGCAGTCATACACATTTATTCGAGGAGGTCACTTTAATTTATATTTGATCGTTTTCCTAAATATCAGCCCCTTGCTGATTGTGGATGTGGAACATTGTGTGCATTCATGGAACTCGATATTTGTGTATTAAGGATTTCGTTATCCAGGTTAGTTTATGTGGTCTTAGTATATCATATACTGTATATATGGTCTTGTACATATTGTATTTCTTACGAGGTGTTAGATTAATGCATCAGTGTACAATTAAACCTAGCTGGTAGTTAAAGTAAAGTAGGTATTTCAACTATCAGTACAGTTGGTTGTATGTAGAATTTATTTCATTTCAATCTAAAATGTATCGTATTGCACCTATACAGTATGGTATCTACTTAAATACTTCATTACTAGTATACACTTTACGAAACTAAATTCGGGATCTGATTTACTTCCATGGGACGATGCCAGTCACGTTTGGACTCTAATGGTGGTCACACAAGATATTGAGAACAGATGACCTTCACCTTGAACATCTAATGTTCCATGTATGCCATATGGAACAATCGATTTCACAACACACACACAATACACAACTAAAATCAATTTTGCGTTTCTGTTTTTGCAGAGTATACTTCTCAATTCAAAAACCCCAACCTTCCAGTACTCAACCCGTTTCACAGCTTTTAACTATTCCATAATTTGTCCAAGCAATTGTAACACAGTACATATCTAAATCGCTACCCCCCGCGTCAAGGCTTATCTTAATAAAGTACAAAACCAGGAATATTTTGAGTCCATCCCTTACTCTGGTGACATTTACACCTGTGAGAATGCACAGGACAGTGTGAGGTCATCACCTCGGGACAGGTGTTAGGTACTTACCTCAGGCCATAGGCCATTTCATACATGCATGAATAAGTTCATTATCAATTTAGCTGTAAAAGTACCTTTACATGCCAATCACAGTTCAGGTAGGATAGGCTAGATTAGGAACATTTGCGTTATTTTGATATATGCTATTGTCATAGCCATATTTATTAAATGAAGTCAGAAAACCATTTTCCGAGCATTTCCGGAGGTAGTTTTAGTCTGGGCTAATGCCGATCTCATAGTGCTAGCCAAATCAGATACCATACTGCAGTTAAACATGAGTACCCCACACAGACACAGTATACCGACTCCGAGCCAACGAGTCCTGGTTTAAGCCCCTTAATGCCGAGTGCCAGGAAGGGTATCAACAAGTACCTTTACATGTCTTTTGGTATGACACGACCGGGGATCGAACTCACGACCTTCCGCTCTCGAGCAGACACTCTACCAATATACCAGGGAGGCGGTCCACATTGTGTAAAATTTATAAGAGTATATATTATTACATGCATTAGGTAAGTCCCATTGGCTTTGAGAGCCGATCACCAAAGTTCTGCGCCAATGATATGAACGAAATAATGAACTCTTGAAACGTATTTCAGTATAGAAATGTGCTCATATCCCTTTTAAATTATAAGTTTCCCTTACTTGTGGTTGATAGTATAATTACACCAATGAATGCACAGATGTTCATTGTAAGTAACAATTCGCCTGAGAGCGGCACATCTGTATCCATCTTCGTTATAAATAACACGGGACATCTGAAACAAATATACATTGTGATTAGGCGATAAGGTTAAATGGGGTTGCAGTTACGAGGGCTGGCTGAAAAGTTCTAAGCCTAAGTGGGATATCTCAATCGGATTGAAACAAACATTTGCCACCAATCAGTACAATCATTTAATGAATCATAGACATAAGAACTGCAACTGTAGTGTTATTATTGTCTTTGTACCAGACCATCTTGTGAACCTACCCATTGAAATCACCAGAAATGGACAAAACTGGCTGTAGGGCAGTCATCAAGTACCTGCAACTGAAAGGGCTAACTCCAACACAGATACATGCTGACATGGTCTCCACTTTAGAGGATGATGCCCCTTCCTTTTCCACTGTAAAGAAGTGGGCTGCGGAATTCAAGCGTGGCAGAGAGAGCCTTGACGATGACCCGCGTCCAGGAAGGCCTTCAACAGCAGCCATTCCGGAAAACATTACCCGGGTGCATGACATGGTGATGGCTGATCGACGATTGACCACTCGACATACTGCCAGTGTTGTGGGCATCTCTCATGAGAGGGTTGAGCACATTATCACCAACGAGTTGGGAATGACAAAAGTTTCTGCAAGATGGGTGCCAAAGCTCTTGACAGCGGATCAGAAACGTGTCAGATTCCTGACGTGCCGTGACAATTTATGCCGTTTTGAAGCAGATCCCGATGATTTTTTGGCCCGATTTGTAACCATGGATGAGACCTGGATTCATCACTTTCAACCAGAAACCAAAATACAGTTTAAACAATGGAAGCGTCCGGAATCACCAGCCCCCAAAACAGCCAAGTCGGTTCCTCCTGCTGGATTGGTGATGGCTTCAATCTTTTGCGATTCCAAGGGTATTCTGCTGATTGACTATCTTGAAAAAGGCCAGACTATCAACGGAAGATGTTATGCTGACCTAAGACAGTTGCGTGAAGCTATCAAAGCTAAGCGACGGGGAATGCTCACTAAAAGAGTCCTGTTCCACAAAGACAATGCTCCTGTTCACAAATCGGTGGTTGCCATGTCAGCGATCCATGATTGTGGCTTCGAACTCATTGATCATCCCCCTTATTCACCCGATTTGGACTTCCATCTGTTTCCCCCAATGAATAAGGAACTAGCCGGTCGCCATTTTCCTAGTAATGATGACGTCATTTCCGCTGGGAATGACTTTTTTAGGGTGGCTGAAGAAGATTTCTTCTTGACCGGCATCCAGGCCTGGTAGCATCGCTGGCAAAAGTGTGTAAACCTGGAAGGGGACTATGTGGAGAAATAAATGAAAACCATCGACTTGGTAGGGTCTTTCACAGTTAGGCTTGGAACTTTTCAGCCAGCCCTCGTATATAGTGACGTGCATGCATGTGTGTGTGAATTAGAACCGAAACATTATTAAGCGAGTGAGCAGTTATATCACAAGGTGTCAGCTTGATGTGGTTATCAGTTTGTCAGCCTGTAGGGGTTTAAGGCTGACAAGCCAAGTAACATTAGCTTGAAAAACCGGGATTCGAACTCACAATCACAGGTTTATGGCTCGCCTAAACGACGCAGTTCTACAAAAAGTGATGTGAGGTAAAATGGGGAATAACGACGCGTCCAAGATTATTAACTTGTAGCAACGCGTGTACGTGCGTGCGACTAATGCCGATTATATAGTGCTAGCCCACTGAGATACAATGTCGCAGTTTAACATGAATACCCCATTTAGCCCCATTTTTAGGGCCAGGCAGGGTAACAACAAGTACCATCTTTTAACGTCTCTTGGTATGACACGACCGGGCATCGAACCGCCGATCTGCATAGTGAATTGCGACACCTTAGACGACTGAAGATTTACTTAAACGACGCGCCACTGTCCATTGACGTGATTTCAGATACATGTAGGTCAAAGATAGTATATGAGAAGAAAGCCTTACTGTCTCGCCCAGTATAGTGAAGGAATTTGTGCGCCACTTTAAACGCTATTCCAGCAATATCGCGGTGACGAGCGAACGCTACCCAACCGCCCTCTCGCTAGGTATCACCCTCATATTCGAACACATAACAAGCAATACCACAAGGCCGGTACAACCATATTGATTTTAGTCTATCTCTAGAAGCAGCTGCACTATCACACGTTATCAGTGGAATACAGATTCTCCGATTCGATTCCCTCGCTTGGGGTATATACACGTTGCGCATACTATACCCATTGACCTTTTACCTAAATAACATCTGCTAGTGACAAAATTGTTAATCCTCATATTCTTTGAAGTTGGCATTAACGATCAGCCACCTTAAAGAGCTTGTGCAACTACGTCATTCTTCATTAGTATGAACTAGTATTGTTTATAAATAATATAAAATTCCACATTCTCCCTGATTATGTTTCCAGGTTTGTCAGCATCTTTCCGTGCTTAAGGGTTTCAAACAAAGTGGTAAGCGACTGACATCTGCATCATATCAGGGATTCCTCCCAAAACTAGCTGACATACCGTGATAATACCGCAATAGTGTTCAAAGCGGAATAAACCTGTGAAGATCCGGGTTAGAATAGGTCTTCAGCAACCCATGCTTGCCGTGAGTGGCAACTGTGTTTGTTGTAAGAGGCGACTGACGGGATCGGATGGTCTGGTTCACTGTCTTGGTTGAGGCATGTCATCGTATCGAAATTGCGTATATCGAAGCTATAATGTCTGGTTCAGACTCGACTATTTACAGACCGCCGTCATATAGCTGAATGAGGCGTTTAACAACAAACAAAATCTAACCAACCCTTATATTACATTTAAGAATTTTCACTTCAAAAGCCGCAAGCCCCAATCACAATGCACAGGACATAAACGTACTGTAACGGCGACACAACAGGGGAGATTAAACTGCTCTGGCTCTACAATTCCTACAGGTTACACACAACCAAAATTTTCCCATAAACTTCTATAGTAACGTTATATCTTTTTTTAGAAATAACTAGGCTTTCACAGCCATTACATTTACATATATGCACAGTCTGGCCTTGAAGCTGCAATAAAAACACAAATTTTGTCTAGGTTAGCCAGCTCCTTTTCCGAGTACAGGAAGCTGAACACACCAACCCCAGTTCCGCACCAAATGTCGCCTATTTGAAAATATCTGTGTTCACATTAAGCACAAGTCATCTTGTTAAAAAAGTCAGCACCAAATATTGAAAAATATGGATGGATGTACATTTAAAAGGCATAAAAATCTTACACAATATCATCCAATCAGCTGCAGATGTCTCTTGATCTGCACTGAAGGCTGAAGTAGAACCTGTAAATACCCCATCCGGTAGCGACCTCTACCTTCCCTTTTTGTCTGGCTTTACATAAAAAAGAAATCAATTTCATTCTAATTCACTCTGTTCAATCGAAAGAAACAAAGAATGAGTGAGTATGGTTTTACGCCGCTTTTAGCAACATTTCAACAATATCAAGGCGGGGGAGACCAGAAAATGGGTTCACACATTGTACCCATGTGGGGAATGGAACCTCGGGTCTTCGGCGTGACGAGCGAACGCTTTAACCATTAGGCTACCCGACCGCCCCTTGACAAAGAAGGAGGGCTGGCCCATCCTTAGCCTAACTGTTGAAACAGAACTACTACCATTGCATGTTTGTGCTAGCCTGGCAGAAAATGCTTGATATTATCAACCTGTATAAAGTCAAACCATGTATATATCTCAAGTTCCGACTGAGAACCGTACACCGATCCCTGCATATATACGAAGATGCATAATTACAATGAATAAATAAATAAATAAGCGACAAACATCTTTACATGGCCACAAGAAATCTCTTCTTAAAGCAGAGTCGATATTACGATTCCGACTGTCATGACCTGATTGTAATGAATCACTATCGAATAGTGATGATGCCAATAATGTAAATAATGTAAATATATGTCGCAGGTCAAAAGACGGTGATATTATGAACTCTATTTGTACAAACTGTTCATCCGGAGAAGCAGAGGATGAATACCATGTCTTACTTACATGTGAAACGTATTCCCATTTAAGGTATAAATTTCACCCCATGTTGCAAGGTACTTTTCAAGACCGTCAGTTAATGATAAATCTGCTAAACTCTGAAAATCCTGATATGATCCATGCTGTTTCTGTCTTCTTAAAACATGTCTTTAAAATGAGGAATGTGTAACTGGATTTAAAATATGATCATGTACATCACGTGACCATGTTAATATCCAATCTGCATTGTACTATGGGCCTTGATGCCTAAAATACTGTATAAACTGCCTGTCTGTCTGTCTGATGCCAGGCGCTCGCGAAAAGGTGAGCGTATGTAGTTTCAGTTTTGTGTAATATAATCATAATAAATATTTTATTGAAATGAATTTTTCACAAAGGGCAGAATCAATAGTTAAAGGAGATGGAGAAATCACAAGGAAGGCAAGTCAGGTTATCCAAATCAGGGTTTATCATTTCCTTTACGTTTTCGAATTGAACCACAAAAATGATTTAAATGTCACGTATCTTTGATAACTATGATGACGAAGTGTTGGTCTGTGTATGAACTGTTTATTCTAGCGCACCTCGATTCTTCCCATATTCGTCTGAGAACATTATCAAACTGTTTACGTCACTAAACGAACACTGGTTCAACTGTCAAGTCTGGTATCCAGCAGATGACCTTTTGTCATATCCTATATCCTTACAATAAGGGATGTAACATAATCATATAATGAGGCCGTCAATTAATTCACATGAGGAGGTTGCGATGGTTCACTGCAACCATATTCTCAGTCCCATATTAATTTCAACTGGAGGTCCTTATACGATGCTTATGAGATGTCTCCCCGGGCCCATGGCCAGTGTGTCTTATTGTACTTTGTTTAGTCACTTGGATCTGATTGATAAACAAGATCTTTATTGCTATAAAACGGGTATTCCTTCGCGAAGTACATCAGATCACGTGAGCACCTGGATTAAAACATTAAAACATTTGAAAAAAACAAGTTGACGCCTATTTGACATTACACATGCTCTGCAAATCCTGCAATCGATCGAAATCTGCACGGCAGTCGCCACGTTGTTCATAAACCCAATGTCGATTTCGTTGCGCTATTTTGACTTGAGTATGCATAGACTCGTTAGTCCGGCCAAAATATAACTCCATAATTCTCGCCTTGTTCTGCAGGGATGGAAACTGGACTTTTACAGTCAGCTAACTCCCTTGTCTCGGGAAGATGGTATTAGTTGTGGGTTTTCGGTTTAAGTCCTTACTCAATACATCAGCTTTATGAGGACGAATGCATAAAACTAAGTGTGTTTCTTGTCCAACGCGGCACAGCAGAACTCCTGCCATACCACCGCTGCATCATTTTATCTTTACATTAGTCATACGAATAGATGTTCAGCTTAAATTACTGGCACATGGCCGTTCACAGTAAGTTTGTGTTATGTGCTTATGGATGTTGTCACCTATATTCATTTGATGGGCATACTCACCATTGTATTATTCACACCACAACATGTTGGCCTCCTTCCACAAATGGGTGAACATAAAAGTGGAAGTATTCTTATTATTAAGTGGGTAAGAGTGAGTATCAGGTCACGGCGAAGGGCAACATAAATGGGTTAAACGCATTGTACTCATGATGGGAATCGAACCCTGGTCTTTGGCCATCCAAAGCTTTAGCCACAAGGCTATACCACTACTCTCTCTTTGTTTAATCTTGATTGTTTATGTGTTAGGTTTGATATGAAATATATTTAATTGCAATTTACAATGACCTCAGACATGCATATCTTGATATTGTTGAAGACGTGTTAAAATATGGTTAAAGTTCTGTGAATTGCATTTTGTGAATATTTAATAATATATATAAACGCTTGCTTGCTTCTTGTTTAACGCCAGTGATTGACATCATGATCATCGATCCATGCACGCAATTGGGATCGATGACATGTATCAACCAAGTCAACGAGCCTGACCACCAGGTCCTCTTAGTCGCCTTTTACGACAAACATGGGCTGTAGACCTATTCCATCCCGGAATCTTCACGGGTCCTAAACGGATACGATCTGTTCCTACTTTTCTTACCTGTCAAATACACATCATCTTGTGTCCTAAATTAGTCATTTGATACATGAAATCTGCAGCAGTGGATACATAAAAGCGCTACCTTTTGCTTATTGCATTATAGACGTGTCGCTGTTGATAGCTTAAATGCAACGTGCGCCACACGTGTACAGCACATGAACAGTAATTTAAGTCACTTGAATCTAAATATTAAGCAGAATATTTTTAGAAAAGAAATATCTACTCGTTGGTTTAACATTCCCAACAGACGGGGCCAGCGGGCGTGCAATGATAAAAATACCCAATAAGAATGATTACATGTGCGTAAATACTGAAACATACCTGGAACACTGACTGAGCTATACCAGACTGACAAAATGTTTCGTTGGGTGTGATGCAAGTATTCCTTTCTTCTCTCTGACATATACCCTACCCACGCGTTCTGCGAATTCCTACGTGAAGAGATACACGTCGGTGACATCGACTTGTTGTGAGCTAGATATATATAATATATACTTCACAACTGATGTTGTTCACACAAAGCGCCAATTCGAGGCAACGATCTCATTGAATGTCATGACACCTGCTGGTGAGTACATATGTTAAAGTGCACGATACGTAGCAGGAATATGTCGGTTTTGTATTATGAATAGGTAACGACAGTATTTTGACACATCAGACAACTCACTAACAGTTTGTATTAAAAGTAGTAGTCAGGCATGTGCGAGCAAGGATAGACTGGCCGTCGTCCAAGAGTGTACACGATTGGCATGGTGGTGAAATTATGACTGTATGTCTATTTGACATCCCATGTCTTCCACACTACGACTTTAATCGTGGTAAAGTTATCGTAGGTAACCTGTGTACTCAACAAACTGGAAATTGCCGCTTCGGATTGAAACCACGTGATCAAAACTCAAAAATGATGTTTATCGCTATTCCACACAGTGGATGCATTGCAAATTTATGGCATTACTGTAAGTTATATTCCTTTTCGGCGGAATGGCTTGCTTTCACTTTATAATAATCAGCTCATATGCAGTTATCTTCTTTAATTTATCATCCTAAAATTTCGTCATTCTGTTTCAAGTGGCGATCGCAAGGACTGTAAGTGAAAGTAACATTCGAGACATGTTTGAGTCACACGTCGATTGGAAATACATGGAAAGGTATGAGCAGCCTGTGTTTTAAGAGATGACGTTGAAGCTCAGGACCCAGAAACGTGGAAATCAATAATCTCGATCTGGAAGGAGGCAACTCGATTACATTTGGCGAAATTAGTTAACAAGGAAAGGTGAGGAATAACATCTTCCAGAGGCAAGGGCGTTAACTGACTGTAAGCGTCCAGTTTCCATCCTTGGCCGGAATTTGTGGGTTCAGTCGTAGCGCCACCAGTGGTTATTGCAAGTTATGTCCCTTCAATGTCCCTCTTATTGACCAGGGGCGGTCTCGAGCCTAGTGGTTAAAGCATTCGCTCGTCACGCCCCCCCCCCCCCCCCCCCCCCCCCCCCCCCCTTTTTTATTTCGAAAAAAATCTTTATTTCTGTGTAAATTACCACCAAAGACAATAAATAGATCTTAATTGTGCACACCCCCTCCTTTTCAAAAAAGCTGTATCCGCCCATGCTTTAATATGTCTGACTCAACATGTGCTTGAGTACAAGCGAGATAACTCCAGCTGGTTCTAGATTTCAATCAACTTGACATGCACAACATTCAACCTAGTTAAGTCAACCTACATAAGAAATATATGACTCTGTTGACACTCTCCCTACATGTTTGTCCTTGCATCAGTTGCACAGCTGTCAAACAGCATTGTCCTGATTGATGGAATTATAAACAATGACATTCGTCATCATTCATGATGAATATATTTAATATTTGTACAATGTTAGGTCCCATTAGATGAAAACAAACTCACCTGATGTAGATTTAGTTACTCCCAGGATGATAGATATTCCAACATCTCACAGTTCACATCTCACATGAGTCATACCTGTCACTGAACAACGTAGCTCATTATCTGTCTGGTGTCAAGGTGACCACACGTAGCAGCTGTCACGCGCACGAAAGCTTGCAATTTTCATTCTGTTTTGTTTGAGCGCTCCATTATTTTTGTGGTTGGTTGGTTTGTTGTTTTACGCTGCACGCTGTATATAAAATATACTACCGGTCACTAGCCATATAAAATATTTTTTCGTTGGAGAATTAAAGAAAAAGGTTATTGGCTGTAAAATATGCATCCTATTTAAAAAAAAAATTAAATAAGTTTATCAGTATCACATAACTCTAGGAAGTTGGGATAGCTAAAACTGACCTTTTCGTATAAACTTTCACGCAAATCATCGCACACATGGCAATCCAGCAATACATGGCATTCATCCTCAATACTTTCCTTACACTGAAAACACACCCTTCCATTCAGGGGCACAGGTGGCCCAGTCGTCTAGGGCGCCGTGATTCGCTGTGCAGAGTTGCGTCCCTTGTGCACGCCAGAAACCTATGATTGTGGGTTCGAATCCCGGTTCGCCCCGATTATGTTTCTAGGTTTGTCAGCACCATACCCGTGCTCGTGGTTTCACCGAAGTGGTAAACGTCTGAGACCTGCATCACTTCGGGCTTTCCTCCCACATTAAGCTGACACGCCGTGATATAACTGGAATACTGTTAAAAGCGGCGTTAAACCCAACTCACTCACTCACCCTTTCATTCACATTCATATTCGTAGATCTGCCTATTTCCAACTTTAGAGAAGCAGTACCTGATCTAAATTTGGAGAAGGCAGAGCGGTAAGAACGAGTCATAATACATACTTACATAACTTTCACATCTTTAAACATTCTATACGTACGTAATTTATTACCACCCGTTCTTCCGCCATGATTGCACAACAGTTCATTCCAATCAGACACATAATTTCCCATACATATATCACGTACAACTACACTTTTCACGCTACCATTCTCAGAAATATTAAAACCCCATTCGTTCAGCTTTCACACGAAAATACATGTCTAAAGTGACATTATTAATAAGGATGTTTTATGGCTCTTTATAATGTATTGTGTAAGAGTAGAGATGGGTTTTAAGTAGGGGGCTATCCTCGTAATATAACTCTCCATTCCTTAAAAATATTGGGCCTCTGCTCCATTATTTTTAAAGAATGGAGAGTTACTTGGACATTCCCCTCTACGTACAAGAACAGTGCATTTTCTAATTATTATTCTTGTGGCTTTCGACTACGGGATGTGCTGGTGTCCGATGAAGTAACTGCTGTCCATTCCGACGATTCCTTCAAAATGTCGGATATTGTTGATCTGCAAATGTGATGATTTCATTCTGAGTGATGTTTGGTTTACTCTGCTCAAACTGACAGATCTCTTTCTTGATTTGCGGGGTGATTTCTACTTGGACCGCTTTCTCGAAGGTGTACTGCAGACATACATTTGGATGAATGTTACAAGGCAAGTCGACCATGTTTATTTTTTATACCAGTTCGCATTTTAAACTGGCTTCATGCTCTTTTATCTGGCTTCCATTTGTAAACTTCATTTGTATAGCTTTGCAGCCACCAAAGCCGACTCGTCTCGCGTCAAAACACGGAGTTGTGTAATCACGGTCAGATGACCACGGAGTACGCTGATCACTGTGTCGGATTAACGAGACTGTTAATGAGTGATTCCAGGAATCTGTTGCAATTTCAGTGGGTCCGAGTCGGATTGCGAGACTGACGGATTAACGGGTCCAAATAGCACTGATTTAATCGGTTCCCATCATTTGTGTCGGATAAAGCCGATTGCCAGATTAACGAGTGTCGGATTAACGGGACTTGACTGTATATCCTACGACCCGTGAAGATCCGGGTTCGAATAGGTCTTCAGCAATCCGTGCTTGCCGTAAAAGGTGACTATGCTTGTCTTAAGAGGCGACTAACGGGATTGGGGGGTCACGCTCGCTGCTTTGGTTGATGCATGGCATCGATCCCAATTGTGTGGATCGATGCTCTTGATATCAATCATTGGATTGTATGGTCCAGACTCGATTATTTACAGACCGCCGTCATATAGCTGGAATCATGCTGAGTGCGGCGTTAAGCAACAAACCAACCAACCAACTGTATATTCTACAGTGCGTGCATTAATGGACACGGACGTCTCGTGCATTATGACCGTCATTATGCATTATGCATACGTCAGCTGCGTTGACCCGAATCGTGCAAATACCTATCAGGATTTCATAATTAATCGAATATCTTTTTTTAACTAACCATTTCAACGATTAGACTACAGGTCCTCGTACTCTTAACTTATAATGGTTTCACCGTTGGTTTGCGCATTTAGCCAACAGAAGGCGGCCAATAAAAGTATCGCATAGATGTACGATATCCGGTTATTGGTGAGCATGCGCATTATTGTTAATTACGGCTGCAAATTAACATGGCTACAATCTGCAACTTCGACACAATTAATAACAAAGTGACTTCAAATATATCGAGGGAAATTTTGCTTTACATATAAACTTTTTCGACCAGGGAATAATGAATGGTCGTTGTTCTCCAATCGCAGCATACGAAGTGAGGTGAAATGGATCATAACGTCGCGTTCAAGGTTCTGGCCGACCAGTCCCTGTATCCCCTTAATTACGCGCGATGGGCAAGGTAACAACAAGTATCATATTTAACGTGTTTAGGTGTAGGTTTGGACGACCGACCTTCCGCTCTCCGGGCTGAGCTCTTATCCACTGTGATGTTAAGCGAGCCGACAGGCGCTAATTTTATATTTGTACGTGGATGCCCGTCGATATATGTTCGGCTGAACAGAGAGAGACAATACTGCGGACATGCTCTTCATTTTTAGATCCAAGGGAGGTAACTCCGTCATACATAATCACAACGTTAAAGTGCAATGTAAAACACTATATCTCTCTCCTCCTTGGAGTAATTGATGGAGTTAACAATAATTATGGCACATACTAATTTGGGCCTTTTAAAATGCAACATATTGACTTTATATTAGCATGCATTATATAAATGAAAATAAATTTGTTATATTTTAACATTAAAATGACTGATTAAAAGTCCATCAAGTTTCATGTAAGAAACTGTCATAATGCAATTATTGCAAACTGAAAGTCCTATTTGTTGAAATACAACATTGTAATTGTTCAAAGTAAAGTCTCTTTGCTGAAAGAAAATATTAAAATATGCTTAATGAAATTAAAATATTTCAGATGACACAAAGTCTTTGTTGTTTATCAAGTCTTTGGCACTGTGACACCACAGTTTGTTTATTGAGTTAATTTGCTGAAATATAAACACATTTCACACACAAATTAATATTTAATGTTTATGAAGCACACAGTTTGGTACTTATTTTGATTTTCACTTCACTTCACAGTGAACACAGTCAATGTTTGTGTTAAAGTCACATTATTTAGTCCTTGAATTTGCCC